CTCGACCTACGATAAAACATTATACTATTATAAAATAGAAGATGATAGTATTAGATAAAAAAAAATGCATATAACAATAATAAAATATGATCGGAATATTATTATTCATGCGTACTTTTTAAAAAATTAAAATAAAGTGTTTGACAAATATAATAGCGATAAGTCCAAAAGAATTTGGTAACAAACGAAATTCAGAAATAATTGTTACAACTAAAGTCCATCATCCCGTCCCGCAAAGTACGTACGCATAGCCGCCTCTTCAGGACATATGGGGTTGAACAAAAGCTTCGTACAGGCGCCTGCAGTAGTTGCACGCCATTGGTCTACAATTTTTTTGCGGATCCTCTTTCAACTTAATAAGCAAGGAATAGAGATAAGAAACGAATACATAAAAAACGTAGTCACCTTGAGCCATTTCCAACTTTGCGAATCTTAAAACACATATGATGATGTTATCAACACATCTTCCAACCATCAAAGAATTCACGTGAATATTCGCTTGGTAATCGACACTGTAGACGCAGTCCACTTTGAAGAAAAAAAAAAGAGGTAAAAAAAATTTCTAGCACAAAGCATCGCTTCAATGTTACATGTACAAAGACTTACTTTTCGTTCTCTAATTCGAGATAAACTTGATTCCAAGTAATATCCGGAGATACATCTTCATCATAGTTTCCAACACTCATAACACGACCAATCAAATCTATATTTAAATCATGTTATTATTAGCATTTGAGGATAATGTTAAATAAAGGTAAAATATAATAATCAAACAGTTACATACCAACACCAAAAACAGGATTTACTAAACCATCTAGTACATCCTCGAAGCTCACGAAAGCGAAAAAATGTTTGGGTTTTCAAGCTCTCCACTTTCAAACAGAGGTTGAAGTTTTGAGATGAATTTCAAACAGATGAGGTGTTGCCCTAAACGTTCCCATAGCAAGAATTAAGTTAAAATTACTTATTACAAACCATCTGCCCTATATGAGTTTTTCTGAATATCCAACATGAAGATCCTTGTTGAGTACGGCATGTATCATAGTATCCTACAATATAAACAGTGTTCGAATTAACTGTTAGAACAAACAAACAATGTTAATATCATTATAATTTACAGTTTTGTATGATATAAAAACAGTTCGACAAATACTAACCTTTTTATCGACAAATATTAATTCCAAAGTTGAATTAAACAGCGTGAAACCGTCATATCTTCTTAGAACTGTGACCCTGATTCTCTTCTTTGGTATTGTCGGTACCAAATCTGATACGTCGACAAAACGAACCATGTCGGCGAACATGTTACCCAAGAAAGAACTAATTTGGATGAAGACGATACCGTCATATATATACTTATCACGTAAACCTAATATCATAAATAATTAAAGGTAAAGATATATACGAATTTACTCAAATCTGAAGATATATATGATTCTTTAAAATAGAAATGTAACATTATCAGAAGGAAAAAGTCCAAAAACATAATATCTAAGAATATATATATATATATATATATATATATATATATATATATAAATTTTACCACAACATTACTTGTATAAAGTAGTACTTTTACATTATAAATTATTTAGATTTTTAATATATAGCGAATATAGAAATTTTACATTATAAATTGCTAAGTGTAATATTGAATTAATAAGATATTTCAGGTAGATACACGAATATTTAACCACAAATTTAGCGTAAAACACATTTTTGACTAACGCTAAGTTTGTGATAACATATGAATTTTGGAAGTCATCGAAGTGTAATCATCTACTATGATATAAAACATCTTAGAATATAAAATGCCCATACTTCTTGAGAATTTTACTAATAAATATTTTCTCAAATCCCATAATCAATACAATAAATGTAAACCCTTTTGGAATATAATATCTAGAAAAACATAAGTCTGTAAATAGCATCAACGATTATAAAAATTCAAAATGCTTAGATATCGAAAATAATACGTCTAAGATACGAACAAAAACTATATGTTCTGGAAAACCTCCTTAAACACCACGTTCATTGTTTTCGTCTAACACTTTCCATTCTCATCGGTAATCAAAATCTTCAAACCTTTTCTCGACGTTACTCTAGATAACGCAACATACAACTGCTCATGGGTAAACACCGGTTTGGGAAGATACAATCCTACATGCTCCAGAGTCTGACCCTTGCTCTTGTTAATAGTAATTGCAAACACGAGAGCAACAGGGAACCGACGCCATCTCTCTATATATATACATATATGGATAGACTTAACAAAAGTTATATATTTATAGAAAATAACATTTTAAATCGTCGTAATACACACACAATCATCAAAAACGGAAAATATTACGAAAATATTCCATTCTATTCATCTTCAATATTCGTAGTTACCAAATAAAATCATGAGAATATTCAATATAATATTTTAAATATTTTTAAAAAAATAAATTAACATAATACTCTATATCATTACATAAGGAGAAAAACCCTAAACAATAACCCCAAAAATATTCTTTTAAAATGTCAATATCAATATATTCACATATTCATTTAAATTTACAAAAATCAAAAATAGAAACACCTAACTTTTTATGGGCTACTACATAAAAATATATTATAATATTATAAAAATTTCTATAAATAACAAAAAAAAAAAAGTAAATTTATAAGTATATCCTTTTTTATTCAAAACAAAATAGAAAACTGTTTAATAGTATCCAATATTTGTATATATCAATATTAAATACAATCTCGATAGATTCGGTAATAAAACATAAGAAGTAGTTATTATCTTAATACAAAATAAAATAGAAAACTGTTTAATAGTATCCAATATTTGTATATATCAATATTAAATACAATCTCGATAGATTCGGTAGTAAAACATAAGAAGTAGTTATTATCTTAATACTCTTTATGTTTGTTGTATAATATTATATAGGATAACCTCAAATAATACAAAGTAATAATTATTTGTATAATATTATATAGGATAACATCAAATAATATTAAAAAACAATATGAAATTATAGAACGGTCTCAATCGGAAAGACAAATATCTATCTATATCTCTTATTTTGTTTGTTTCAAAAAATTAGATAGAGATTAGCTAATATCAACCCAAAAAGATTATCATATCAAAAGTAAAAGGCATTACAGATTGTTGTAGTTGTTATTAATATATATGTATTTCAATTTGATATATGTATTTAAAATAGTTACCAACATATAAGATACACGGACGCAATAATTCATCATTATTAGCAGCCTCTGTTTTAAGATTAGTCGTGAATTAATCCTCTAAGAACCGGTAAATTAGGTATCTCTACACGAATAAGATATTTTATAACTCCGGTCTAGTATACATGATATAGCGATAAGAATTATCATGTCGCCGATTAGGTATATATATCATCGTATACATTAAAAACATAGCGCCGGTGATTAATCATTCTGAGTATTAGTATCAATTATTTTCAATTAAGCATAATAAACTCAGAATATAAGAATTGTCGACAATGAATATTATTCCCAAGATAGTACCGATTAACTTCGATTCATAAACATGTGTGATATTCGATGAACACGATAAACTCAATATAATCCAAAATATTTCATTAATTAATATGATTTTAGTATAACTAAGAAAGATATCATAATCAAGATTTAAAGATACATCGAGATATCGATCATACGATAACGATAATTATAAGTCCGGAAACACGTCTTTGAGTCCATAACGACTCATGCACTCTCCCTCATACGATCCGGACAACGTTGCAGACGGTGCATAATCTCCATAGACTCCATAATATAGAACACTTCATTCTGAACAGATTTAAAGTTTATGTATTAAAGAAATATATTCGAAACAATAAAACAATACGTAAAATAAAAACAACACTTAAAAGAATAATGATCGTACCAAAGAAAATACAGCCGCACGGTTAATCCTTTTATGATCGTAACTATATGATCACGTAACAGTAAAGCAATCAAATTAAATTTATTTTTTTTAAAACGCATAAAGCAAGCAAGATTAGAGAGATACCTCAATTTGATTCGAGTTTCGTTTGCAATTCCACAATACAAAAAGTTTATGCTTGTACCTGAGAAAAGAAAGAGGTGCTAATCAAAATCATGAAAATTCTCATTCATATAAAACCAAACAGCTACGAAAACCAAAACATGTAATCGACCAAACTATAAATCTTGCGTAAATAACTCATCACCAATTGGCAAAGATCTATGAGATCTTACTTTCCAAGTGACCATAACATAAAAAGGAGAAAAAAAAAACCGATGACGATGCATCATAGAAAGGACCAAGTTTGAGGTACAAAAAAATAACTATAAACCATAATTGCTATGCATAAAAATCAAGCCGTGATGTTTGAATTTCAAGGGAGGCATCCTATATTTATAGGAATTTCCAGCACAATATTTTAGGGTTTTACATATGACGGTGTAAATTATACCAGGCTTTTTTTTTTGTAAAAATATAAGCCCAATAGGCAAATTAGAGTTGAAAAAACGAAAACGTTATATTTCTTTTTTTTTAACATGTTCGAATTTTTTTTTATATTAAAAAATATGGAAATTTCACTAATTTAATCTCATTAAAAGGAGGGGGGCAAAACGACTGTACATATTCTGTGAGCGAACGTGAGCACTTTTGACTTCTCCTTTAATATATAAGATGAAGAGCTCTTCTCTTTTTTAATGTGTGATATTATTATTTTCAATTTTTTTATATTTTGAAAGCACATGAAAAACTTATTTTTGAATATTAGTCAAAATCTTTTCTATCATTCCAATGTGAGATATTGTTATGTTCTCATATAAAACATAAGTTTCCATTTTTTCCCTGTTCTTTTCGGAATTGTGATTCATGTCGTTTCTTTGCGCTTCTGAGAATTTCCAGTTTCAATTATATTTCCGAAGTAGACATCTACCTCTGAAAAGATATTTCATGCAACTACATTTGTATCCGTGCATACTAAAAGCAAATCCTTAATTTCATTAATGAAGGTTGATTAAGTATATTGATATATACAAACAATTTAAATTAGAATACTAACATCACACACACACACACACACACAACAATTCTTCAAAAACCAAACACTAGAGAATTGATATACATAGAATGGTCATTACGATTCTTTTCACACACTAGCCAATATAGATGAACTGTATCCATTTTTATCATCCCAAAATTTAGACCAAAGCATTACACCTCCATACTTCCTAGACTTCTTTAAAGTCGGAAGTATCTGTGAAGTCAGTACATCTGGCGGGATATAGCCACTTCCGGAAGCTTCGGGAGCTGCCGGAAGACCCAAGAAGATTTTCTGGGCTGTGATTGAAGTGGTCCACTTGTTCCACGAATCAAAGAGGTTTTGAGTATTTCCTGAAGAGTATGAACACGGTGGATTGTTGTAGAACTGGATCCAAACATAGTCAAAACGTCTAGTGTTGAGAGCACTTCCCATTAATCTGTCTGGAAATGGACATTGAGGAGCTCCTGTTAAATATACTTTTCTGCCTCTGTGGCTAAGCTTTGAGAGAGACCTGTCCACAAGCATAATTTTGTTTTTCAAGTTTAGTTTGTTGTTTTCACAAAAAAAAAAAAAAAGTCAACACCAAGAAGGAATTTAAACACCTAAATAAAACTTTTATATATAGTATAACTATATATAGTATAACCAAAAAGTTCGAATCTCGTTATCTTTTTGGACCGGAACTAAAATAGTTAAATTAGTCACCCAAATCATTGGTGGTATTCAACATCTTCTAATCACGATTTATTCAAAAGAATTCCGTAATTACTACCTGGCGAGATCATCCCAGTGTTGAGGAGAGCCAAGCTCGATATTGAAATCGATACCATCAAGAACAGCATCACCTAAGGGACGTGATGATGATTTTCCTCCCAAGAAATTGTTCCACAGGTAATCAGTGACGACTTTTGCGTCCTCCCTGGACCCAATCGAGTAGTTTCCGATCCCGCCGCCGAGAGACAACATAACCTTTAAATAATTTTGACATAAGTATCAAAAGAATCTTGAAACAAAGAGAACCAGGTAACCATAAGAGAGGAACCGAGAGGGATAGAAGATTGAGCCCTGTTCTCTGCTTTTGTTTGTTCTGGGCTCTTCTTTGGGGCCTGGCTGTTCTTTTTATTTTCTGTTAGTTGTATGGGCCATGTGGCCGTCATTGGGCCTAAGGGTCTTGTACTTTTCTTTTTTAATGGAAATTTAAAGTAAAAAAAAAAAAAAAAATAAAAAAAAAAAAAAGTATCAAAAGAAATGTGATTTCAAACTAGTTAATTTATAGCATTAAAACTTGAGAAAGAAAACAAAATTTATTTATTTTCTATCTCGAAAACAAAAATCATTTTTTTTTTGTCAAAAAAAAAACAAAAATCATCTAGACCTAATTAAAGGATATCGGATATGTGAATGAACCAACCTTGATGCCACGAGACTGACAATCTTTGACCTGAGAGCCAAAATGGGTGCAAGTGTTGGCCGCAGGGTTGCAGTGGCCGGCAAGGTTGAGCTCCGGTGTTTGACCATTTCCGAATTTCACAAGAAAGGCGACGTTGACGTAAGCATACCGGCCGGTGGCACATGTGGCCGAGAGATTACCTTCGTTGCCATTTTGGCCCCAATAGATGGCTATGCCACCTCTGGATGCATCGGAGGGTTTGGTAATAAAGCAGCTTATGAAGAAGAGAAGGTATATAACATGCTTGAGAAGATTAATGTTAGTCATGTTTTTTGTCATCTTTGTGGTTATGTGTTTGTTTGTTATTGCTTAACTTCTTTTTTTTATAAAAGACTTATATGTCCCCAAAGTAAAAGATGACTTTTGTTTGCTTTAATTTTTATCTTATCTATGTATGTTATAATGTCTCTCACACACATTACATGACTTTCATTGGTTGTTTTCTTTCTTTCGTCCAATTATATTGCTTTGCGACTTAAACTAGATATAAATTTCAAACATTAAAAAAGCCATCTAGATTAATCTCTGACCACTAACTGTAAATGTCTAAGGAAATAAAGAAAAATAAATTAAAACTTGCGATCAAATTAGTAATAGCAGTCGCAGAGGGTAGATCATGAACCTCACATTGTGCTCGTTGTCGTCTTTTGTGGTGTTGACTTTGTCCTCTTGCTGGTTTACGTGCCATTTGGCACATTTCAATTTATCTATAGAGTCGAAACTATTTTGATCTAAATTTGCATTACTCAAATTAGAAATCGAAATTGTAGTAGAACCATAATTATGGTATTATCATATTTTCTCTATTACATATCAATGATAAATTTTATTGTCAATTAAACCCAGTAAAAGTATTAATAATTTCTCTGTAAAATTAGGGATAAGACCGAGAAGTATTTCTATCAACTAGCTTTGAAAAGGTCTTATGCTCTCTTCCAATCAATGAATGACCAACGCATTTACTAATTTTTGAAATTAAAATCATTTAATACTTGCTGTCAAAAAAAAATAAAAAAAAATCGTTTAATACTTTCAAAAGTGTTCATAATAATTATTTTTATCAAAAATACAATCATTGATTAAACTCAATAAAGTTTCAAAGTCAAATTATACTCCGAGTATATTTTATTAGGCCTCTCCATTTATTTATGTAATATCCGACAAATATATATTATAAATTAGGAAATATCAAATACTACAAGTATTTTTAAATATGCATGTAAGAATAATTCAAGTATATGATGTATGTAATTTAGGTATATAATATGTCGTCAAAATTTTCATAGATCGGAATCATATTCAAGTATTTCTAGTATTTGTTTAGGTAAATTTGAGTAATTTTGAGTATTTTTAGATAATTTTGATTTTTGAATAACTATTTAGTTTTTTTGATTTTGATAAAGAATAAATTTATAATTGATAACTATCAAACAGCTAATTTTGTAGGTATTCTACCAACAGCCGATCCATATCTATACGACTATAACCAGTGAAAATTTTAGCTACCAAATACCTAATGAAAGTTGGATACAGATTGGGCAAACGTAGAAAGTCGGATGACCAATTGAGAATGCCCATGCCTAAATAGTTTAAAGTTGTGTACAGAGTATTGTTTTTATTTTGAGATATAAATTATGTATACAAAATAAAAGTTATCTATTAATCTGATTATCATTCTGCTAAAACAAACACCAGTCAAGGTATTGTAAGCAAATTACCAGAATACCCTAACATAGGTACAATAGTATCTTACCTTGACTTGATTAATGTATGGACTATGGACAATATAAAACAATCATTTGTTGCCGGAAAGATACATATAATTAATCAGAAAATTTCACATGATTAATCCAAACTAATCTCCACATATTATCGAAAATTGTTGATCATAGTGTTTTGGTGGAGTGTAGAATATTCTTGTTCACTAAACCCACTAAAACAAAAAGAAGAATTGTTGATCCATACGTTCAGGGCAAAAATTCGTAACCCAAATGCTGATAAATATTTGGGCCGGAATGGCCCATTTTCTAAAGAATAACATTGCCTTTGCCCAGAGGCTATAGTAGTAACTCTTGTCACTTTTTTTTTTTTTTTTTTTTTGAATATCTGGAAGTTCAACCCCGAAGACTCTACATCTCCCAGAGGTGGGATCCACACTAGGTTAAATTCATCTTCTTTAGAAAAGAGATCTCTCCCAACGGGCGTCAAACCCAGTACCTCCACCTGAAAGATTTATCACTGGACCAACACAACGTTGGTAAATCTTGTCACTTTCCCTTAGGCGTTTGATAATTCATTGTTGTATGTGGGATAGTTAATGTTTTCGCTTTCTCTAATTGTGTGAGACGGCTCTGACAAGCAATTGGGAATAGAAAAAGCTCTAAATTTGTTGGTAATGGAGACAATAAATTAAGCTGCAAAAAATCATTTTCCCACTTGGCCGCACATGCAGCTACAATAATATATGCACAACAAACAACATAAATTAGTAAAATATATCAACAACTATTTACGTCAATGATTATAAGATGCTCGCAGATCATGTGAAGTTACATTGCCAAACACACATAAGATATGATTTTAATTTATTAATATGTTATAGTAATCGCTTGATATACAAATTATTCATGCAGTTGCATGTGCGTACCGTATATACACTTTAAATATACTCATATATAGGCTCATATAGCACAAAAGGTCCTTTACCTTTAGAAAGTTTTCTACTCCCCACCCCCTCTAATTAAGCATTGCAATTTTAGGGTTAAGACATATATATAGCCTAATGGTTTATGTTAAAATTGTTCTTTTGTTATAAAGGGTTAAAATTGTTCTTTTTTTTTTAAGAGTTAAAATTGTTCTTGACTCTTGAGTTATACATGAACTCATGCACATAATATATCTTGTTAGCAGAAACAAAAAAAAAGTTGCAATTTTAGAAACTTGGATATATGAAAATCGACTATTTTATCTTTTATAAAACCTAACACACAATGTTTTCGAAAAATGATATCTATGAAACATTGCTAATTAATTATGTAATGCATGCAGAACTCAAACTACGTATATTGTTTATGGTTCAAATTAGTTTTGGTGGGAAAAGTTGAGAAACAAAAAAATCTGAGGGGTTTTATGTTAATTAAAAATCAAAGTAAAATAAATTGACAGCTCATATTCCCTTAAATGATTTCTAAGTTATAATAATCCTCCATCAGACCAGCACTAACAATATTTGTCACCATCATGCCCCAGCTAATTGTACTTTTAGTAAACCAACTTCCATATCTTTAATCTAAAACACTGAAGCTCCTTAAACCGGAAATGTGCCCAAACTAAACGTTTATTAGCGTTTGTGTATTGCCGGTATGTGATTAACCAAATCATTTGTGTGTAAACGGTTTGACTTTCCTAAATAATACTCCCTCCGTTTCGGTTTAGTTGTCGTTTTAGGATTTAAATTTTGTTTCATAATAGTTGTCGTTTTAGGTTTTTAATGCAAATATTTGATGAAAATTCTAGTTTTATCCCTACTGTTTTAATGTTTTGGCCAATGAAATTTTTATAAAATATATTAATAAAAGGTAAAACAGAAAATTTAATGCTTTTCTTAATTTGTGTGAAAAAACCTTAAACGACAACTAAAACGAAACGGATGGAGTATTTATCTTTTATGGCTTCCATTGCCTATAGTTTTTGCAGACCGAACTTCTTTGTTCTTTCTCTCTTCTCTGCTTTTTAAATTCTCATTATTATCTCTTACATTCTCTCTTCCCAATTCAAACTAAAGTCTCGCCAGTCCTTAATGAGATTCCGCATTTGAACTGTAAGTTGTTCTTTATCTTCACTTTCTTTGCAAATTGCAATCACATCTGAAGAATCTGTTTGGCTTATATATTTGATAAGTTAAACTTTTGGAATATTTGTATTCAAATGTCATTTTAGCCATGAATAAGTGTAGTTTATTTTTTTTTGTGGAACCATGTCAGGCCGAGTTTATAGACTTGATTTGACAAGATAACATAAAATTATAAACAACATGATAGCAATCGTTAAAATCTACATTTTCTCATCAAATAATATTATCTAATGCAGATATAAAAGTCTCCATCACATAACCAGAGAAATTATTAAGAAGATGAGTAGAAGATTTTCCATCTTCTATGTTGTTTTACTTCTCTTCTTTGGATCAACTTCTCTGTTTTCTCGGGTCACCGGTGACCTAGCCGGCGACAGACAAGCTCTTCTCGACTTCCGCAACAACATCGTTCACCCACGGTCTCTAGCGTGGAACGCAAGCAGCCCGGTATGCACCACGTGGCCAGGGGTCACATGCGACAGAGACGGCACACGTGTCACTGCCCTTCACTTGCCCGGAGCAAGTCTTCTAGGAGTGATCCCGCCGCGAACTATCAGCCGTCTATCGGAGCTTCAGATCCTCAGTCTCCGATCCAACGGCCTACGAGGACCGTTCCCAATTGATTTCTTGCAGCTTAAGAAACTCAAAGCAATTAGTCTCAGCAACAACAGATTCTCTGGCCCATTACCGTCCGATTACGCCACGTGGACGAATCTCACCGTTCTTGATCTGTCCGGTAACAGGTTTAACGGTAGCATTCCCGCGGGATTTGCTAATCTTACCGGACTCGTCTCACTTAACCTAGCTAAAAACTCATTTTCCGGTGAGATTCCGGATCTTAATCTCCCCGGTCTACACAGACTTAACTTTTCCAACAACAATCTCACCGGATCAATCCCAAATTCTCTGAAAAGATTCGGGAACTCGGCTTTTTCCGGCAACAACTTAGTTTACGAAAATGCCCCTCCTCCGGTGATTCCTAAAGAGAAAGAGAAAGAAAAAAAGGGGATCTATATATCCGAACCCGCGATTCTCGGGATAGCGATTAGCGTTTGCTTCGTGATATTCTTTGTAATCGCGGTTCTGATAATCGTTTGCTATGTTAAAAGACAGAAGAAACGAGAGACAGAGACAGAACCAAAACCAGAGAAGTTGAAACCAGCGCAGAAGATGCCAAGTGAGAAGGAAGTTTCTAAATTAGGAAAAGAGCAGAATATAGAAGACATGGAGGATAAGAGCGAAATTAACAAAGTAATGTTTTTTGAAGGAAGCAATCTAGCTTTTAACTTGGAAGACCTTTTGATAGCTTCTGCAGAGTTTCTAGGGAAGGGCACTTTCGGGATGACGTATAAGGCGGTTCTAGAAGATTCCAAGGTCATCGCGGTTAAGAGGTTGAAGGACATAGTAGTGTCCCGGAAGGATTTTAAACATCAAATGGAGATTGTAGGAAACATTAAGCACGAGAACGTTGCTCCCTTAAGGGCTTACGTGTGTTCCAAGGAAGAGAAGCTTATGGTGTATGATTACTACTCTGATGGCAGTCTTTCTCTTCGTCTTCATGGTACGTTCCACATTTTTCAGTTTATTCTTCCAAACGCAAATGGTAAACGCGAACAAAAAATTGAAACCTTATTTGATAATGTTAGTTTCTTGCATCTGAAGAAAGTTTTTTTTCCTTTTTCGGGCAGGCAAGAACACCGACGAGGGCCATGTCCCGTTGAACTGGGAAACACGATTGAGATTCATGATCGGAGTAGCAAAAGGATTAGGTCACTTACACATACAGAAGCTCGCACATGGAAACATCAAATCTTCTAACGTCTTCATGAACTCGGAAGGATATGGATGTATATCGGAAGCCGGTTTACCTCTGTTAACCAACCCGGTTGTGAGGGCAGATTCATCAGCCAGATCAATACTACGTTACCGTGCCTCAGAAGTAACCGACACAAGGAGATCTACACCTGAATCAGACATATACAGTTTTGGAATCTTGATGTTGGAGACTCTAACCGGAAGATCGAGTATGGATGATAGAAAGGAAGGGATAGATCTGGTGGTATGGGTTAATGACGTTATTGCAAAACAATGGACAGGTGAAGTGTTTGATATGGAGCTTGTGAAGACTCCTAACATTGAATCAAAGTTACTTCAGATGTTGCAGTTAGGGACAAGTTGTGCGGCTAGGGTTCCGGCGAAGAGACCAGAGATGGTGAAAGTGATTGAGACTTTGGAGGAGATTGAGAGGGACTGATTAATACATTCTAAATTTTTAGTTTACGGTGTTTGGCATTATGATTTAAAATGTATCATCAGTGGCAGATATATCAAATTTTAGCGACACTTCTTTACATTTAGATAATTTTAATATTAAAACGGTGTTTAACATTTAGATGAAGCATAGGAGAACTTACTCCATCAATAATTTAATTCCATAAGTTTTATAATCTTGGATATTTAAAATTTGATGCTATTCATAAGGATATATGTGTGGATTTTGAAATGTTTATGTTTAAATTTGGATTTTATCCTTTATAATGTTCAAAGAAGAAATTCTATTGAAATGCTTTGTTGAAATTTGGATTTTACGAGATGTCCTAAAATGGATGCATTGTTAAGGCTTTAAGTAATGAAATGATTAAGAAATAGTTCATGTATTATATATTTTTCTAGATAAGAAAAAAGTTCGTGTGTTATTATGGAAATCTAAAAATAGTTAAGAGTATCATTATGGAATTTTTCCTTAATTAAATAACTTTATTATGGATTTTGACCACACATAAAAACAAAATCTAAAATTATGGAGGTAAAATAGTACTCATACTTTAATATCAATTACGAATTTACATGGCAAAATTAAAATTAGTATACACTTTTAAAAAAGGTAACTACTAAAAAAAATAATGAAACGACAACAGATCAACAATTATGTTTTTGGATTAATGGCAATAATATAGTAGGGGGAATATTGTATGTGTCCAAACTAGACAGAAGAAGCTAGAAAACAATTTGTGGGTACGGGATCAATTCAATTATACTTAAAACGTATTTGAAATTATAGCAGTTTTTTCACATTCACAAGTTTGAATTTCCCATTTCCAAAAGCATCAATTATTGTGGGGCTAAAATGAATTGTTCCGAGAGATGCGGGTCGACCATAAAGTAGAAAATAATTGTTCAATAAAAAGCCAAAAGAATCTCTCATAATTCTCATTACCTCATCTATCGCTCTGCCTAGCCTTTTCTTTTGATTTCTTCTTTTCATTTTCCTCTCTCTCTTTGTTCTTCCCTCTCTAAAATCCTTCTCCAAGAAAAGAAATTAAGGAGTTAAGAGAGGGAAGAGCTTTAATAAAAGAATTTAAGAACTAAAGAGGGAGGAAAAATAATTGAAATGTCGAGCTCAAGGCTTTTCTTCGGAGTTTCTACAATTGTATCGATAATTTTCGCCATTTTGTTGCCGATGGCACAAGCTCAATCCGCGGCTCCTGCTCCGGCTCCAACAAGTGACGGTGAGTTTATATAATTATAATCAATGGTTAACTAAATGTTTCTTGAAATTTGTTAAATGTGTGAATATCTTAAATTTCTCAATATTCACAAAATTATCTAATTAATCTATGCCTTTTGTCGTAAGAAAAAAGAGAGTAAGTAGGTAATTAGTTATCTCTTAACCAATGATATGTAGTTCTACTCTCTAATGCTTTAGATAAAATAATGCCATAATAATTCGGGTTACTTTAGTTAACTGGAAAAGTTAAATCAAACAACCATGAAGCTGTAACGTAAAATTGCTAATTTCTTTATGGATAGTGCAATTATTTTATATTTGTTCGGATGGTTAATTTTGGAACAAAATATTGCAGGAACAACGATAGACCAAGGCATAGCATATGTCCTTATGTTGGTGGCTTTGGTCCTCACATATCTCATCCATTGATCCTTTTGTCAATTTAATTTTGGTCTCTATTTAGTTTAATTATATTTTTTCATTTTGATTATAACTAAATAGAGACCATAAAAGTTTGTATGTGTGGTAGAGAAAATTAAAGTGGTTTTCTAATTTTTGGAGGATACATTTTTGAAGGTCCATATCATTTGTATAAAGTCGATGTGCGTTCAACTGTTGGAAATATATTTAATCGATTTACATTTCCTTATTAATTTTCTTATTCTCACATTCATTATCTTAAATGACATTTTTTTTTGTTATTTTATAACTGAAATTTTTAAACAAAACCGCTCAGTGTAGATCAATCTTTTGTTATTATTACATCTTTCGTAACGACTGTTATATACGAACCGCTCAGTGAAAATAAATCTTTAACATAGGCCGATCGATTAATAGTATAGCTAAAAGAAGCTAGACTCAAATTTGCAATAGAAAGATTCAAATATGTTACAACAACATATGGTAAAAAGTAAAAAACCATGGACTATAAGCTAGATAACAAGGATCATACGTACGAGTACAAATCCATTTATTTCAACATAGACCTGAAAATAAGCAATATTGATAAAAATGATTTAAAAAGTAATTAATTAGGAAATTTGAATTGGAAATTGATTAGCTATTATGAAAAACTATATCTCTCTTTAATCAAGAGATCATGTAAAAGTTCCGTCCCTCCCTTAAGTGGATACTAAGAATAGAACCCACCAAACCCTCCATATGGATGATTTGGATCATAGCTTTCAAATGGGGATTCCAAAGGAACGGTGGACGGAGAGTTTGATGTAGAGTGAGAAGCCGAGCCAGATGCCGGAAAATTGTAGTTGATATTAGTTCTTAGATCACTAGAGAAACTTGTAGATCCAAAAAACTCAGTGTTGTGGTCTCTAAGTTGAAGCATATACGCATTGTTATTCTCTAGATTTGGGGTAGAGCACAATGGATAGTGAAAATTGTCATGCAAATGTGCTTGGTGATTGTAGTTGTCTAGACTTTCCTTCACCATGTCAAGATTTTCGTGTTCTTGAGTCTGGTTCGGTTCGAGATGCTGTACCGGGATGTTTGAACGGACATGTCCAGCTTGGGAGCAGGAATGTATTCCTCGGTAACTGATCTCAAAGAGCATCTGATTTTCGTCAGATCTTTGGACTTGTTTGGTGGCTTCACATCCTTGAGATTTTCTATACGTGCATCTATAGTATCCTCTGTACCCAAAAATAGACATTTTAGTTGAACTTTCTTTCCTCGTATACCACTAAGATTTTTTCCTACATTTTAAGAAAACTTTAAAATTTTATTTTACAAAAATTAAGTCATAAAACAGAAGACTATGTCCCTGTCACATTTTCAGTGAATATAATGAAGGGCTAAAATGAGAACATTCTTCTTTTCCTAAATAGTGATTTATTAGTTTAATTACGAGACTAACCTTGGAAATTTGGCTCCGAGGATATCCTTCTGGCCGTACTTTCTCCAACTGAATCCATCGTCCAGCGTTCTATCGATACCAGCTCCAGGGGCAATTCTGACTTTTGAAGTCCACCTTGGCATTGACTTCTTTGAACTATATTACATTTTCAAATAATTATGAGTTATGCAAAACAAAACAAAAATATGTTATGACAGTTTATAGATATGGAGGTACCTCTTGATGACATGAAGTGGTTCTTGATCGGAATCATCGCTCTTGGGGCTTCCTCCACCGTGGGAAACTTGGTCGAGTTCGCCGGAGTAGTTCATGATGGTGAGAGACTTGTGGTAAGATTCAAGAATCTTCTTGGCCAAATGTTCACGTGTTTCTTGAGATGAAGCCGATCCAAACTGGTGTGCATAGTCTCTTCCTTCAGTCATTAGCTCGTTGATCTCCTTCTTCATCTTCTCCCACTCTCCACTACTATGGTTCTTCTCCATTACGTTCAAAGAGTGGAGAATAAGATTAAAGTGGTGTAAAATAGTTTAAAGTATTGTTACTATGTTTATTTTTGCATGGCTTTGGAAACTGAGAAAGAGGAGAATTTTAAAGAGGATTATGTGTGAGAGAGATAGTTGACTTTTTGACTGAAGAACGAAGAAAGCTGATGTGGATTGGAGAAGTGAGACCGGTCTTTGGTCAATGAATTTGGAAAGTCCAACATGCTGACCAGTTCTCTGCTTCTCGATCCTTTATTTTTGGTTTATTGGATCTCATATTTTTGAAGTTTGATTTTACATGATCTGGTTTTGTTTTTATATTAGGGTCACAATCATGTAATTCTTATTCGTAAAATTAATTTGTTAATAATTTTCATTATTACTAAGAAATATGATTTTCTATTTTAACTTTTAATTTTGCTATAAATTATAATATTGAGTTTAGAAATTCCAAGAGAAATATCAAATATATTGATCACTATGTTGGAATATTCATTTTGTTTTGAATCAAGTTTAACTAATTATCTTTAATGGAACCAAATTCAATATAAGATCCAATTTCTAGAATTTCTCTAAAGTGTTTAAGAAAACGCTAGACAATAAACAAGTGAAAAATCATCGGCTAGTATCTATAACACATAATCGAAGTTTAGATGGTATTAGGCGGTTTAAATATTTATGAGATCAAACAATATACATTAGAAATATAGGATAATATATGAAATATCATAATTCATAAATAATAAAATTCTTATATAATAAATCTTAAAAATAGATTAATTCAAAATTTAAACATTTAAAAAAATGCAAAAATAAATCCAACAGAAATGCTAATCCAAAAGCAAGAAACATAACACTAAATGCAGACGTAAAAGCTAACGACAACGCAAATAATAATGCTACATACAAACGCAAACTCTAGTAAACCAGGGACAATCTAACGTTAGTAACGTACATAGAAATTCCAGTGAAAAGAAATTTATTCGCCATTTTAAATTAAAATAAATATATTTTTAGAGAATATTTGAAAATATGTAAATTTCAATTTTTGTTTTTGGTCTTATTCAAAAGAAAATTTAGGTGCATATATAGACCTTTTTGTATGAAAATATATTTAGATATGGCCTTGCCTTGGGCCTAAACACTTATGCCTATTCTTTTGCACTGCTTCTACTCTAAATGCAAATGCAAAACTTTAAACAAAAACGTTTGAGGCTTGTCACAAATGCTAAAATCTAACTTAAAAAAAAATAAAAATAAAAAATAAACACAAACATTAATACTAAAAACACAAACGTTATCAGTCTATCTCTGCAAGCGCGACAATTCTGGATTTTACCCCATTTGGCCACTGTCACGCCTTTAGCGATGGGATAACGTGAACCTGGTATGTAAGACCACCAGGATACCAGTAGTGGGGCCCGGACAACCTGGTTAAAAACAAAAAAAAAATTTGACAAAAAAAAAAAAAGATACCACATTAACATTTTATGACGACTCAATGACATCACAGTCATTAGAATGAAAACATGGAAGTGTGACTAAGGTTTTGTGATGATAATGGCTTGACCATTCTCTAGTGTCAGCCACTGAAAATTCTTTGTATCAAAAATTCGGAGTTAAATGGACATACCTAAATTTTAAATTGATTTTTAGGCACATATAAACCAATCATGATCTATAGAATACGGCAGAAATATTATTATTAGACATTAATGGCAAAGACCAAAAAAAGTTTGTTCGTTGCCGTGTAATAGACTTCACGAAGCCAATAATCAACGGTTTAACATTATTGTAAACTCTTCTCAGAATCTTTAGCACCGCTCTAAACCGGTTTTAAGCTAATCAAAGTTCAATCTAACCGGACTGAAGACTAGTTGAATTGTATTATTTCACACCGGTTCAATGTTCCGGTGTATTGATTCCGTTTTCTTAGGAATCAACCGGTTCAATTTTGTGAAAATAATGCATACAATGTCTCAAACTTTACATGTATAACTTTTCAGTATGAGTATAGACTGTATAGTAATGATATAATACAACGATTTTGATTCACTGTTCGATTTAACGCAGCTATAAGTAACTCTGATATTACTTACATACACAACTATACAACGGTTATAAGAGGGTTTGAAGTATCTCGTAAATTCAAGAAATCATACCAAGTATGCACAAATGCTTGAGTGAGGCGCTCAATTCGGCTCGGTTTGGTTTCAGACGATGTATTGACGAAGGTAATCAACTCGAGCCTGATGCTTAAGCTTCATCAAGGCCTTGACTTCATGTTTCCTAACCATTTCTCTAGAGATGTTGAGATTTCCAGCTATCTCTCCTAGAGTCCTGTCGCCTTTCCCATCAAGACCGTACCTCTGGCGAATAACCAGACTCTCTTTCGGCTTCAATGAATCGAGCTGAGAGTGAAATGTAATAGGTTTTTGGTATTCATATAGACAAGAAGCCAAAACTGATAAAGATAAGCTAATTACTAACAAGAGTAAAGATGGAGAATTGAAACTCACCACGTCGTCGAGAGCGAGCCTGAGAAGAGCAGGCTGTCTGCTGTTATTAGCTCCAACACCATCAACATCTGTGATTCCGTTGATGAATTCTTCTTGAGTAACCGAATGTTTTGAATTTAGTGACAAAACCGGTTTTGCAGCCCTCAATACTTCACGGTATCTCTCAGGTGTTATCTTGAGTCTCTCAACTACCTCGTCCTCGGTTGGAAGTCTTCCCAGCTCAAACAATAGCTCAGTCTTTGTTTTGAAAATCTCCACTCTAACCTGAATGGTTTCAACAAAGAGAAAATGCGTAAGGTCTCAGCAAAACAATCTATTTCTGAGTAAAGAGCCAAAGAGGGTTACATACCGATTCAAGTCCAAATGGGACACGAGTGAAGTTTGAGGTTGTCATTGACCTTATGATGGCATGTCTAATCCAAAACAAACCATAAGTTGAAAGACGAAACTTCCTTTTTGGCTCAAAGCGGTCAATTGCTGTGATAAGCCCTCTCATACCGGCTTGACAGAGGTCTTGGAATTTCGGTCCGTTGGTAAAATCATGAAAATATTTGTTCATAACAAACAAGACAAGCCGGAGATTGTGCTGCAATGAAGGAGAAAAACAATAAGCTAAAAGAATAGTCTTTCTAAGAAAGGTAATGGCTAAAACCTTTTTATACACTAACCTTAATAAGTTTGTTTCTTGCAGCTCTACCTATTTCGATTTTCTTTTTGACTTCACCCGCAGTCATATTGATCTCCCCGGCTATTTCAGCTTCCCTAGGCTCTCTTCCCAAGCTCTTTTGCAATTCATCTTTCACTTCCAGAAGAGCCTGCAATGTTAAGCCCCAAACAATTTGAGCATATCTTGCAATGAAAACTCGATTCCAGCTTCCTAGTGAATCATCATCTATCTATAGACTACATGCTATTTTCAAGAAAAAAGAAGAATACCTTCATAGGTTGCATCAACTTAAACAACCAAGCATGTTCAGTGGAAGAAAGAACAGGGGGTATCTTCATCTTTTTCCAGTCCAAGCTCACTATATCATTAGAAGCTGAATAGTCCCGCACAAGCCTTTCGATCTTCTCCTCTTCTTGCTGCTTCTTTGTTACTTTCTTCTCAGCAGAAATAACAACTGGTTTCTCTTGAACATTTCTCTTCAAAGCGATCCGTTTATCAAGGCTCAAACGCTTTTCCTTCATCACATTATTCCTCACAACAACTTTCTTCTCCTCACCACTCTGTTTCCGTTTTCTCCTCGGTGAAACTTTCGCTTTGGAACCGCCATCTTCAACATCCTCTTCGTCTAATGTGGTTGTTGCAGGACTAAGCTTGTATATGCTTTCAAGTCTAGCAGCAGCTTCATAGTAATCAACTCCTAATGAACACGAAGGAGCCGAATTATGTTCCAACGAACTCGGCTTTTTCGGAGCTTTACACGGCTTCCTCCTCGTCACTACTCTCTTCTTCTCATTATGCTTTTCCGCAGGAATCAAAACTTGTTCACGAGGAGGAATAATCAAAGCTGAATTGCTCGAATCATCGGCTTTAAACGCAACAATTGATGGCTTCTTAAGCGAAGACCGATGTGTCAAAAGATCACTGCTTAACCCTAGCGGAGATCTTGCAGCTGAACTTGAAATAAACACAACTCCCATCACAATTTAAGGCTGAAAAATTGAATCTTTCGAAAAGCTAGCTCACTTGTGCTGCAAGCAGAAACATGTCTCATTATAACTTAGAGCAATTTTACTACAGAACAAGCGATGATATAAAGAGACGAACCAAAACTAGAATTTGAAAGATTCGACATTTAAGAGCGATCATGAAAACCCAAATTCAGATTTCTTCAAATTACAGAGAATCAAAATGCAAAGTCGAAATCTTTCGTGAGCATAACCAGTGATCAACAAATTGTAAGAATTTTACACAGAAAGATCAAATAAGTCTAACACAGAAATCGTTACGCACTAAGTAAGATCTTATCGAAACGATGTTTAATGTTCGATATCGACGAAGCAAATCGCTATAGCATACCTTTGTAAGTATCGTCGGAGAGAAATATTTCTTCGAGAATCTTCGTTCGATTTTAGATTCTGGTTCACGAATTTTAAATATAAAGAAAAATTGGAGAGGAATACGAAAATATGTCTCAATGAACTACGTAAATTATGGTGTCCACAGATTAATGACAATGTGACGCCGTATGTTTCCGGAATCTATTCATAAAACCCCAAAAGTTTATTTTAATCAATTTAAACCACGTTGATGATTCGGAATTAATTAGCCTGACTAATTCAATGGGTGTGTTAACTCGTTGGATACAATCACACCACGTAAAGCATTCGAGCCTAAGAGACAAATGAAAAATACAGTAAAACTTCTATAAATTAATAATATTAAAATCAATGTATTTTACTATTTTTATTAATTTATCGTGTTTATTAATTTATAAAAATCATATTTGAGCCAAAATATCAATTAGGACCGAACAAAGTTATTAATTTAACGAGGTATTAATTTATATAAGTTTAACTGTAATTTTCAATCTCTAAAATATTCGGAATCAACTGGCGTAATAACAATGATTTTGTGTCACAAGCATGATCAATTCTAAAATTTTATCGAGATTTTGTTAATAGTTTCAAATTTTTAACCTTTGCACCACTATTGGTGAGCATTCATTAAGGATCTGAATAGTAGTTAATTTTAAACGTAACTCTACCGATTCGATTGAACTATATTTATTTGTATTTTTACAAAATTTTAATGTGTAAACAATTTTATAATTTATCAACACTTCTACAAGATTTATTGATTAAAAATTTTCCTCGTCACAATTGACTTTTAGTTTTATATTAATCATGGTTTAATTCGTTTTACAAAAGGTTTGAGTAAATGTAAATGTAAATCTATAACTATTTAACTAAATGTGCAAATAGCTCGAAGATAAGATCCAACGGCCAACAAGGGCAAAAAATAAACGGTAGTGAGAATCTAGGTTGCATGGAAACGGAAACGGAAACGCGGAAGCGAAACGTGTGGAAACGTGGAAACGGATTTTTTAAAAAATTACGAAATGGAAACGTTTTGGAAACGTATATATATATATATATATATATATATATATATATATATTAAACATCAAAAGAATATTAAATATATATTTTAAATAACATAATCATTAATAAAAATATTAAATAGTGTAACTAAAATAATGATAACAACACTCAAAATCAAAAATTAAGACCATATATCATGATCACAAATAATAAAATAAGTGTTTCATATTTTTAAGTTTTTAAAGAAAAAATATCAAATATATACTTATATTTTTAAAATAATTAATGTTTATGTTTCAAAAGAAAAAATTAAGTTTCCGATGTGTTTCCAAAATGGAAACGTACGTTTCCATCGCGTTTCTAAATTGACTTTTTAGGGGGTGTTATTAGTTTGTTAATTTGTAAATCCATATAGAATTTGAAAATTTCTATTAATTATGAAATCAAGATATATGGATTTTAAAATAACATGTGTTTATCCATGGATTTGAATCCTTCTATTTTTCTCTTTCAATTCCATTTAATTCCATTTAAAACATAATTTGGATTCTCAAATCCAAAAACAAATGACTAAACGAATAACATAAGATTTTAACTAGTATTTATAAATCATAGAACCAATAACACATGAATTTAATTAGGATTTTAAAATCAATGATTGAATAACAAATGATTTTTGTTTGGATTTCTAATTCTATATAAATCTATGAACCAATAACCCCTCCTAAGGAAACGTGTTTTCATGACGTTTCCACGCATTTCCAAGAGTTTCCGAAACGGGAAACGCACCTTAGATGGAGTTTCCATGCAACATAGGTGAGAATGCACAAGCGGAGATGGCGAGAGAGACGACGTGGCTAATTTATAGTGGAGGAGAAGATATTTCCTAAAGGGTCAAGTCTTGTGGTTGTGGATCAGGTAATATACACGTGGATGGTCTTCTCAGCAACAGTTGGACCCAAAATAAAGTGGTGGCTTCAGAAGCATTTACGTAGCCATATTATAAACCGATTAACATATTTTTTTGAACTTTTAAAAGTCAAATACTCTCTTCGTTCTTTTATAAATGATGTTTTAGGAGAATGCATATAAATTAATCATTTAATTTTTGTTTATTTCTAAACTAAAACATCATTTATTATCTAATCAACCAATAAAAAATCAAACTAGAGAATAAAAATCGTCAAAATCAATAAAAAATAATAATTCATTTTGCATTGAAAATTGAAAACATTTTATATTTAAGAACAAAATTAGAAGCTTAAAACATCACTTATAAAAAAACAGAGAGAATATATTAATCCTAATTATTACGCTAAAACTCCAATTGTTTAAATACTTTGATTTCCATTTGCTTTTTTCTTTGTTGGTTTTGTGGCTTTTGGTATAGCCCAAGAGTCGGAGTTACAAAGTTGAAGAAATGTTAATGGCATTACTATTTTAGATCACATTAAATTTTAATAAAATATTTTAAATCTTCTTTTAAAAAAAAAAGTATTCAAAATTTTAGCTGAATAGTACTAAATTTTAAAAAGTTTAAAACATACTAATTTATAGATATCAAATTTAATAAACAATAAACTATGTTTAGATATATATTTTATTAGGCTCATGACCCAATAATATCCTAAACTTTTACTTTTGAGTCCTTTATTTTAGCTGTAAGATAGCCTAAGATTAGCCCAATAAGAAGCCCAAATTTAAAATAGTACCTGGAGGATGTGGCAAAAAAAAAAAAAAAATACCTGGAGGATAAAACGACAACGTCTTCTACGAAAGTCAGCTGTTTTCTACAATCTGCCACGTTACACTTCCCTAGTAGAACTCCATGCACAAGGCCACGTAAACCGCTCTCTCTCTCTCTCTCTGAGTCTTTCCCAGATCTCTCAGTCTCTCTCTAGACACATAATCTTCAATCAAATGGTGAAACTCGCGACGGCGCGTGAGATTAGAACGTACGGCCCTCGGCTAGGGAGGAGCAGAGCCGAGTACATCAACGCAGGTCTATACTTGTTTGCAACCGTAGCGCTCATCGGCGGTTTCACGGCGACAGGATTCTCATGGGAACCAAGATCCGGCCTCGTCCTTATTCTCCTAGCTCTCGTTCTTATAACTGCCGTGAATGTTCATGATCTCGTGGCTCATCTAGCCGGAATCGATTACCGGTAAATGATCTCAAAAAGCTTGCTTAATTTAGTAATCTTAGTATTAAATTTACCTTCTTAAACAAAAAAAAAAGAGTTAATTTACCATAATTTGTTAGCTCGAATATGACTACGTGTGATATACTGTATATAACTTTATATTCACCAATGTTGGGGGATTAAAAAGAACGTTTTAGTTATGAGCTTATTGTTTTTGTGATCTAAGGTTAAGGTTAATGGAGTATGATTTGCAACTGGGGCTTGTGGAATTTGCAGTCCCTCTGGTTCAGATAGCGGGTTCGGTAGTTTTTTTCTTGGGAATCTTTTTCGTCTTCCATCAGGTATAACTTTTATTGTTCATCAAATTTTACATATATGCCTCCTAAGAAAGTACTAGAGAGAAGCGAACTAAATCGGTTAGGTTTCGGTGATATCAGTTTTGTAACAATTACAGCTAGTATTTGAAGAGGTCATCATCGGCATTGAGCAGATAAAGCCAAGTGCTTGTGGCATATTAATCTGAGATTGTCCATTATGTTCATTGTGATTCATGTCACAAAACATAAGTAATAGAGTAAAATATTGTGAAATGTTGTGAATAACAACTTTTGATATGTGTCGGACTAATTACACGTAGTCACATTCCGATGTGATTTTTTTCGCTGGATTATTTAGGCTGAGACAAAACGTGGATACAGTGGAAGAGAGCATCATGCATTAAACTTGCTTATTGCGGGTCCGTTGCTTTGGGTGATAGGATCGATTCACAACTCATGCCAAATCTACCAGAGAGCAGACAGTCATGTCCAAATTCTACAGCAGTGTGTTCACATTCCTTTCTTGGTTGGATCTCTTCTATTCTTGGTTTCGGCAGTTCTCAATAGCCTCGACCAATCCGGGTCATCTCACAGTGGCTTGAAGCTTCTTGTAAGTACTTGAAAACCAAATTTATCGCATAATAATTGGTTTTCAAAATCCGCTTCTTACCGTAAATAATAAATTTTCAGGGGGAAAGATGGGTTTGGCTTGGGATTGCCGGGGCTATATGTTTGTTTGTGGGAGGATTGATGAACGTTGTTAAGGTTTTTAACTTCGTTCAGATCACTGGGCTACGCCTCGAGAAACTACGGGGCGGAGCTCAAGACCGGCTTCTTGAAGGGAGAGAAGGATATCTCCCTCTTGTTGCTGAAGAAGAAAGAATAAGGAAAATGGAAGCTGACGAAGCTTCTAGTAGAACCAAACCCCGTGCCCACTTAACCTCCAAAGCTGGAGCGGGAGCTACAGAGACCGTGGTAGTATCATCTCCGACACCATACAAGGATGTTCTCGTTGGACAGAGCTGAGGAAGATTATTCTTGTTTAGATGTTGTTTTGTACTCTATATTCGTTTTTATCTACGAAGACAACAGATTTTGCCGTTCACCACAAGCTATGATTCGTTTCCTTGTTGATCAGCCTTTATGAATATTGAAATATGTTACAATACATCAAGACTTTAATCTTTATACCTATTTGAGATTCAGAGCCACTTACCATAATATCATGCATTGCACCGGATTAGAAAAACCTGGTTCAGTTCTCTCTTTGAAACTGGTTTAACCAAAAAAGTCCTGTAGTGAGAGAAATGTAAAATTATGGAGACCCTAAAAATCAGCAGAGAACCTTGAGTAAACACGAGGGAAATTTATAAGCAGAAAATCAAGAATCAATATATAGAATATAACAAATCAGCATGTAACATATCCATGTTTGGTTACAAGATAATTCAGTAGAGCTTAACCAAAGGCTCAACTTCATATACACACAATTATTTATTTGATTGTAAAAGGTTTACTATTTGGCGATATAGGTTCTTCTAAAACGAGCTGCGTTTGTTACTAAATGTGCACCCAACATTTGCAAAGCCCACTGTTGATTCACATAGAAAAAGTCATATAAGAAACAAGTTTATAGCCGTTAAAAAGGTATACATTTGTGATTTGTGTTAAAATAGCCTAGAAAATAGAAAGCCTTACGGCAAAAAGTCTGAGGCTATGCCAAAAGCGAACAGGCGAAGGAAAGGGAGAAAGCAAGTGGCCCATGGACGTAAGGGTGATGGCTACAAGATGAAGGACTAGAGTAAGGGGGTGAGGGTTCATGCCTCCGAGAATAGTCATCAATCCGGCTGTTTTAAAATCTCCACGAGCTAGGTAATTGAAGCAGCCTTGTCGCATTCCCTCTCTTGCTTCGTCCGTTGTAGCAACAAGCACTTGCGAAAAGATACTAGCCAGCGTGTTTACGGTCGCTGACATTGGCTTTTGCCATTCAAAATCAACAAATAAAAATTAAGTCATACCACTAGTCCAACACAACTTGATAATAGGATATATGACATTCTAACGTATAAATATCGAGTTATTATCAAAAAAAAAAAAAAAAAAAAAAAACGTATAAATATCGAGTCACTCCATTTAATTAAACCAGAACCAAAGTAATATACTTCTCTAGTAAAAACTAAGTATGTCATAACTAACCTTGCGGATGATGTAAAAGGACTTGACAATATCAGAGACCTTCTTAGTATTGCCGAGGTTAGGTAATGGTCTGAGTAGATTGCGTAGAATGCAAATGTCCGAGAGAGCAACCATCATCCCTGACGCGATTATAGGATGACGCATATTGAATGCATCTCCCAACACAATCACTCCTCTCTTATCACACAATCTTGCTGACATACTTTTTGTCGCTGTTGATTTTATCTCTGGTAATCCTTCCTCTATGCCTTTCAAAAATATCTCACGAAGATTTCCAGTTGCAGGTATCTACAACCCCAAAGGGATCGATGATGTAAACAAAGTCATTTGAACAAAATAATACCATTTGAACACCATGAAAATGTTAAAACACACCTATATATATTATAAAAGCTTTTACTTTTACTATCAATACTTTGATATGTACCTGAGGAGCCATTGATTTCTTGAGGAAGGTAGACATTTCGCCATTCGCAATAGAAGGAATACTATCAGCGGGAACTTCGGCTACACAACGAACTTCATCACTGGTTATTTGATATATAACACAGACCAAAGGTTTAGAAAATATAAGATGTAGACTATGTGGATCTTCAAGTCGGCTATTCTTCGTGACATAACCCACCATGTACGAGAGCACTTCCTCCTATATATAAATATACGATTATGATCCTTAAACTCGGTAGTTAACGACAAGACCAATATTTTGTTGTAGTTTATAGTGAAAAATGGCAGTCTACAAATAAAATGCTTAAAAGATAAGTATGTACTCACAGAATTATCCACGAGTGACCGGCGAAGGTTTGAATAACAACCATCGCATACGACAGTGAGAGGTGCAAAGGCCGTTGTTTCCTCGCCTGCGCTGTTCTTGTATGTCACTCCTTTAACCACTCCATTTTCTTCAATTAAAGACTTCGCCATTCCTTCTTCTAATTGTACACTGCCAATGTTCATTGCATTTTATCATCAAGAAGATGAAATAGAAATCTAGTGTATAAGAGTCGTAAGATTATTTTACTCATTCATAAGTTATAAAAAGTATACAAAAAAAGAAGCTAAGTAAAAATTTGTACATACTTGCTAAGAGAAGCTGCTTTTTGGCGTAAACGTTGTACCAGACGGCCATTACGTAAAAGTCTACCGACTGGTTCATGAGGAAACTTCTTGTCATCTGGAAAAGGCAATGTCGCGTGTTTTCCGTCCTTGTAAATTGCCAAGGACTTGGCTTCTTGAGCGTCTATCTCCTCCAAACAATCTAATACATATAGAACCCCAACATCGCAAATTAACGAAATATAACATATGTTCATATGCATATATATGTGCTTGTGGCAACAAGTCAAGCAATGTGTAGCAATGAATGTAAAGATGTAGTGAAGAAAGAGACCTTCGAGGCCAAGCTGGGCTAACATGAAGCGGCCTCCCGCTTGCATAAGCTCTCCCATGAATCTTTGTGGCTCTTTCAAGTCCCTCTCTATCACATGTACTCGTCGTCCATCCTGCATCCGCATTCAGTTAATTACACATAATTAGTAACTAATAGGGACAAAATAGAAAAAAACAACATTTTCTGTAAAAAATTGTTGAATCCGCTATCGAATTCTTTTAGAAATGTAATGTTGGACTAGAAGCTTAATACTGATTTCTTATAAAAAAAGAAAAACTTTCTACCACGTTCCTTTTTTTGTTGAATACAAACATTTTACCGTGTTCATTGATTTAATTTAGTTCATATTATTCGTATCATGGAAGGGGTTTTATCACGTAATTATTTAATTTTAGGTTAAGAACACTAGTTTTGATAAATAACTTTTTTCATTAACAATCTGATAATCTTTCTAAATTTTTCATTTAACACCTATCTCTAATCCATACCAAAAAGCAATTGAAGCCTCAAAACTTGTTACAACGGTTAAGATAATTCAACCTATTTGAAGTTTGATAAAATTAATTATAACACCGCCATCAACCATACTATATAGCCGATCCAACAAAAAAGAAGTATTTACTTTGATTAATGAAGCTACCCAAAACACATGAAAACTACCAAAATCCTAAATCATTCGGTTATGTAGGATTCCAAAACATCAAGAAAATTTGAACGCTAATCATTTCTACTGATCACTGCAATTAATAACATGGCGGATCTTAATTTCTCAAAGACCAACTTATGCAAAAGACCGTCACATGTACAAATATATACCTTAGCAAGAGCATAAGCAAGAGAAGCGCCTGCAACACCCGCTCCAACAATGATGACATCAGTGGCACCATCTGATCTCTCTTCTGCCTCTGCCTCTACATCTTCGGTTGCCGCCTTCTTCATCTTGATGAGGTGTAAAACCATCCATGTCAGAACGAAGGCGAGAAGCGTCCATAACCACGCGTAAGTCATTGTCATTACCACTTAGTAATTATTTCTATGCCTTTGTACCTGAAGTGATCGTTAAATAGGAGAAACCCACAATGTCAAAACAAGCTAAAAATATGTAACAAACCCTTAAAATAAAATTTTTTAAAATGCAATAAACTAGAGTTCCACAGCTTGGCCAATCAATATGAGTCAGTTACAGGTCGACATGGGATCAAATTATATTCACATGACATGATATTTGTAAGCCAGCTTTCTAAATAAATCAATAATTACTCATTCTATATAGTTTCTAGTTAGTTTATCATATCTTCGTTGACAAAACAAAAATAATTCGTATTAATTTGCTAAGCATAGTCTCCTATAATTATTAATTAAAGATATAACTAAGGTAATATCGAACAAATAGTGGCCACGGTGGCCACCACACAAACAAATTACAAGCGCATAACGGGATCGATATATTTTGTGCATAGACATCTATCGGCAACAACACCTATTTCAACTTCTTATGCGTCATAGAATCTTTAAGAAATACTCCCAGAGTGTTTGCTCCATCCAGAACTTTAAATGGACTAAAAAGGGCAAAGAAAATAAAATTATTTTAAATTTATGTTTTTGTTTTATCAAAATAATAATAATAATGTTTCTTTCAGTTCCGGAAAGTTCGCTCACGAATTTTGTAATCTAACAGCATGGCCTATCTATCATATCTTGAATTAATTACTAAGAACGTGTCAAGATATCAATAATAGAACCAACCCACGTTGGTCCACTTGGTAAAGGGCTCACGGCTGTGAGTTCCCCCTCCTGGGTTCGATTCGGGTTGGCCATCTAGCCGCTCCCTTAACGATGGGATAAAGCGTATCTGGATGCAAGGCCTCGTGGATTAGTCTTTGGGCCTAGAAAGCCTTTGGGATGACAACGGTTATCAAAAAAAAAAAAAAAAAAAAAAAAAAAAAAAAGATATCAATAATAGTATATTTTTTTGTAATCATAAGTGTCATTAGTTAGAAGTTAGAACTATGGACATGTTGTAATTAATAATTACAAAAATTTATACTTATAAACAATCAAATTAGCATGGGTTCCTAGGAGCAAAATGTTAAACAAAAAGTTTGTTTCTCCTTAACTCCGAATAGAAAACTTTACTATATGTCATGGCAATCATATGTTTTCTCGAGGGGTAGTTAATTTTGATTTGAAGACGAATTGCACATAATTGATCACATTAATGCAATTTCTTGATGATTAGCTAATTTCTTTGAATTTTTGGACGGTTCAAATTTCTCAGAAACCGACTTATTAATTTCTCGACTTTTAATTTCTTATTTCTATATCATATATATGTTGTTTAGTTTGTAGTAGAGATAGTAATTTTATTCTTGTAAAATCTTTCTTTGGATTGGACAGTCAATTATAATAAATAATGAAAAATATGGGCTTTAAGGAGAATTTAATCAAGCTCTCTTAAATAAACAAGCATGGAAAATACTTATCATATACACATGTTAGAGTAAAAATAAAACAGGTTGAAACATGTTAGGAGATATCGGGGATTACGAGATCGACTTGAAAGGAAAGTTAACATTGTATAATATATTTTTATTATAATATAGGTAGATTTCATATTATCAAATATGTATAGAGTTTGCTAATCAAGTTATGATATTTGTATAAATAAGCCTATTAGCTAATGAATAAAATTGAGAGAAACTATTCTACTACTAAAGTTTCCTCCAAACTTATCATGGTATCAGAGCCTTGATCCTATTCATATGGGTTATAGTTCTCTTACGTTAGCTTCCGCGTTTAAAAAAAAAAAAAAAAGAAGAAGTTTTTAATCTTCGTTTCTTTGTTTAGGAATATCAAACACACTTCATTGATTTTTCTTTTATTTTTATTTTATTTGTTATGAAAAAAAAAAAAGATAAAAAAAAGAAGAAGAAGAAGATGGTGTTACTTTGTCTCGTTCACAGAGATTTGGTGACAAGAAAAAGTCAATGAAGACTATGATGTTGGTGACGTTAATAACTTCGTAATTTGGCGTTGCATGAATATGAACATGAACTTGATTGGTTCGTTCTATGATGAGATGGTTCTCACATGATATTCGCAACGTTGATGAAGATGGTTATGATATTTTCAAGAGATTTTGTCAACGACGACTCCAACGATGCTATGGAAACGGTGATTTTTTCTTGTGAAGATGAAGCCATAAATATGAAGAACTCCAACGGATATATACGGATCCGATGGAGGTGATGATATGATGTTGCTGTGAATTATGAGCATGAACCAATTGATGAGTTCGTTCAATTCACATGGTGACATAAGACGATGGAGATACACAACTACTACAGTATTTTCCACCGAATTGATGACCTTTTGGCGAGGTATAAACACCATTGATGACCCTATAGTGGGTATAAAGACCGTGAAGATGATTGTCCAATCTCATACGTCATACCACGTATGAGCTTCCGGGAGGATGTTAGGAGATCTCGGAGATTACGACATCGACTTGAAAGGAAAGTTAACATTTGTATAATATATTTTTATTATTAAATAGGTAGATTTCCTATTATCAAATATGTAAAGAACTTGCTAATCAAGTTATGATATTTGTATAAATAAGTCTATTGGCTAATGAATAAAATTGAGAGAAACTATTCTACTACTAAAGTTTCCTCCAAAATTATCAAAACATATTACTCTTACTTCAGTTCAAAACTTACCAATCAAAAAAAAAGAGAAGAAAAATAATTCTGCTCGCTTCTTCCAAAACTATTAAAAATGACGAGAATTTTTCCACCTACTAAGTGGAGTAAATTTTTTTGTGTTAGATTTGATATTTTTGTATCAGTCCATTTACTCTCCTTTATTCTAGAGATATACCAGTCAGATCCTTAATAATCAAAATTTTTTTAATAATAAATAAAATTTATATGGCACCGGACATATTAATTAGAAATTAAAATTCATAAACTGATAAGCGTGATTGAGTGATATGATAAATAAAACGAAAATGATCAAATATCATAGCCAGAAAAAAGGAAAATGTCAGAGATAACCAAATCAAACCGTATACGTCAACTGCATAACCCTCGACGACTTCAAATATTATATGAAGGCAATGCTGTCAAACGTGTTGCATTTCCCTCTTTCTTTTAGAGTGAGTTAAATATATATACTCAGACGACGGGATAATTAATTTATTAATTAGATTCAACTAATATTCATTGTCAATTATCCTATATACTCTGTCTGTTTCTACATATTTGATGTTTTGAGTTTTTTCTTGTTCCACAAAAATTGATGTTTTGTAATAGCATCATTACTATTTTTATTTGTAACCAATAGAGAAAGGAGAAAATTAAGATTAATATTACTAAACTAATAATAAAACAATAAAAATTATAAAAATTATTTTTTCTTAATTAGTATGTAAAACCCAAAACATCAAATATCTAGGAACAGAGGGAGTATATATCAGTGTTCGAGAATACGCTATACGCTAGGCGTACGGTGGAGCATCGTATAGCGTATAGACGTATATACGGCCGTTTATGCGGAGACTATAAGGTGGATATTTTTTATTAAATAAATATATATATATATATAATAAAAATAAAACATATATATAGTAACATGATGAATACTATACATGAATACAAAAAAATTTAAAATTTTCAACTTTACAAAATATTTTAAATAATAGAAAAGAATGACAATAAAGTTATTTTATAGTTAATTATTATGATTAATATTTTGAAAGCCAAACTAATAATTTTGTTAAATCATTTTTCCAAACATTAATAAAATGACATAGTTTTGTTTTTGAGCGTTTAAAAAAAAAAGCGCCGTATATGCGGATTTCACCGTATATACGCCGTATAATCGCCATATATACAGACTGTATATATGCCGTATAATCGCTGTATATACGGACTGTATAGTTTTCACCGTATTAAACAACTGTATAGCTATAATACAATACGGCTTCCCACCGTACAACGTATATACGGCTGTACAAACTGTATTTTAGAACACTGATATATATTATAGTATATGAAAACATAAAATAAATTCTAATATCATATTATTTAATTTTTATACTTTAGTAAAATAAAAAAATGTAAATAAACTTCCATTGATTTTATGTTTATGCGTAAGTTAATACAATTTATACAGCTATATTTAAATAAGTTAATTATATATGATTTTGATAGACTTTTGTAGCTAATTAAATTAAAATTACTTAATTAATAAGTTAAATATGTATATTTTTGGGAATTTGGTTGAAAGTACCATTCACTGTAACAAAACTTAGCAAAAATATCACAAAACATAAATCTTTCTAAATGTACCATAATTGATCTTTATGAAGTAATCAGAAAGACAAAAATGCCCTGGACCAAACAAGTGGGAAAAAGATGAGAATGTGTTGAGTACACCCGTGACAAAAAAAAAAGTGTTGAGTACGCAACACCCACGTGCCTATGTGACTTTTTGTTTTTATTTATAATTTTAATTAATTTATATTTATTTAAATATCAGATATTTGGTGGACAAAACTTTGAAACAACATATTTTGAAAATTTTTGGTAGACACGAAATATTGTCCACATTTGAATAACAGATTGGGAAGATATTTGGTGGACAACAAATATTTTTCACATTTGAAACAACAGACTTCAAAGAAATTTGGAGGACAAGAATTCGAAACGGCATACTTCGAAAATTATGGTAGACAAGAAATGTTGTCCACATTTGAAACAACAGATTGAGAAGATATTTGGTGGACAACAAATATTGTCCACATTTGAAACAACAGACTTCAAAGAAATTTGGTGGACAAGAATTCGAAACGACGTACTTCGAAAATTTTGGTAGATATGAGATGTTGTCCACATGCAAAATACAACAGATCTCGTTTATCTTTCTTCTCAGATTTATATTCGTTCCCACTTTCGAATATAAATCCGAAAACTCCGAAAATAGTGTGAATAATATTTATTTAAAATTGAATTGGGTCATACTTGGATAAGAAGAAGAAGATTAAAATTTGGGAAACTCTTATATATATGGAGATTGAACTTCATTTTTTAGAGGAAAGAGAGAGAGACATGAGAGAGAAAGAAGAGGAAAGGGGAACAAGAAGAGAAAAAGTAACGTGAGAGGAAGAGAAAAAAAAAATATAGTGGTTTATTATAAAGGGAATTTTGTCTTTAAAGGGGCAAATTGGACTTTACAAATTTGGCTAAAAGTTGGACTGTGGCACGATTGAAAAGAATTTGTGGGATGTGACAATTTTGTTAAGAATTTGAACAGTGTATGGCACATTAGTTAGATTTCTCTAAATTTTTCATATAAAAAAGAATTAATACATGATTTACATTCTTAATTCAATTAAATAATATCATAAATGATATATGTTGATGTGACACATGGGACTTTCTCCACTGCTGACGTAGCGAAATGATTGAAAAAATTGATCAACTTTCATATATATGATTACAATTCCTTGTTTTTTCTTTTACATAGAATAATTCTCATTTATATGCTAACAATTGTAGAACATAATAGATGCAGAATCACAAAGATTCGTGATTTCTTTATGTGTGATATATTTTGCAGTTTAAAGCATCAATACTTAGAGAGCCGTTGCGGCCATATAGCTTTTGCGATACGCGGCTGCGTTGACTGGAAACAACATTTGGCTAACTCCTTCGGCCTTTAGATGGGGAACCAACATTTTTGTAGCTAACTGGTGATTCACATAAAACATAGATACAAAAAAATAAAATAAAAAATAATGTCAAATAGTAATGGTAAACCAAAAAGAGGATTAACAAAAATAAAAAACAATTCTATAGAAAATATTTACTAAAAGGAAGGAGATAATTAGTGACTTACACCAAAAAGTCGGAGGCTATGCCAGATGTCAAGGGGAGAGGGACATGGAGAGAGTAGGTGGCCAATGGAGGATAGAGTGATAGCACATAGATGATAGATGAGAGAGATCGGGCGAGGGTTCATGCCGCCGAGCAGAGCCATCATCCCTGACGTGCGAAATCCACCACTACAGAGGTAATCATAGCAACCCTGTCTCATTGCTTCTTTTGCTTTGTCCGTTGATGCAATTAGCACTTGAGAAAATGCATTTCCTAATGTATTAACTTATCAGAGTATATGAGTATATGTGAAGTACCGTGAAGAAGAAGAAACAAGGAAGCAGATAGTTAACAGAATATACTTATTCTGTTACATGATAAACAGAGTATTAACACTGTTAATGACTCACTTGTATAGATAAGTATCTATCTTAGTATATAAGCCAAAGGTACAGCTACACAAATCTTTAATGAGAATTCTAGAATGTTTTAAAATTCTATTATGGTATCAGAGACTTAAATCCTCTCATTCAAAAGAGTTTGTTACATTTTCTGGGAAACTTGTGATTTTTCGAGAAAATTTCTTGAAGATTTCACTTCAGCTTGTCGTGTTCATCTTTCCTTCTGCCGATCATCGTGACAATGGCGAGGAAAGGAACCAAGCAGCTCAGAAATCGATCAACATCGAATGATTCAGGTGAAGATTCACCGATTGTTCAAAATTCCGCATCCGTTCTCAACAGAGTTCCTCCAGCTCAAATCTCCATGAATCGTTTACCGGTGGACTCAGATTCAATCGATAGTCATCACAATTCGTTCTATCTTCACTCCAGTGATCATCCTGGTATGTCGATCGTTTCTGAAACTCTTACTGGCGATAACTATAACTCATGGATCATCACTATGCGTACTAGTCTAGAAGCAAAGAACAAGATCAGTTTTGTAGATGGATCTCTTCCTCGACCTCTTGAATCTGATCATCTGTTTAAGATCTGGACCAGATGTAATAGTATGGTGAAAGCTTGGATACTCAATGTTGTTTCAAAACAAATCTATGCTAGTATCTTGTATATTCAGGATGCTGCATGAATCTGGGATGATCTTTACAAGAGATTTCACAAGAGCAATCTTCCACAGATCTACATTTTGGAGCAAGAGATTAGTACTCTTCGTCAAGGTACAATGTCTCTCTCTGAATATTACACTAAGAAGGTTACTCTATGGGAACGACTGGCTTGTACTAAGAATCTAAAGGAGAATGGTGGTTGTCGATGCTCACAAGTTCTGAAGTTGTTGGATGATCATGAGACAACAAGGATAACTCAGTTTCTGATGGGACTTAATGATGATTTTGCTAATATCAGAGGTCAAATTCTGAATATGAAACCACGTCCTAGTCTCTCTGACATGTACAACATGCTTGAATCTGATGAGTCTCAAAGACAGCGTACTCTCTCTAATCCCAATCCTTCAGCATTTCAGATCAAGACTCAGCTGAACACATATCAGAAATCTCGTGCTACTTGCACACATTGTGGATTATCTGGTCATGTGAGTGAAAAGTGTTACAAAATCATTGGTTATCCACCAGGTTGGAAGCCAAAGAATCAAAGACAAAACTCCAACCAACATTTCATCACACCTTCTGCAAATCTTGCCCTTACTGATGGTGTAACCGAAATTGACAGAGAAAAGACTTTAGAGCATGATTAACAATGAGTCCAAAAATAGAGATCCAAACAAGTTTTATAATTTATATAATGGAAAATCTACAATTTAGACACTTGAAAGAGATTTATTGTTAAAATTGTTCAATGATGGGATCCAAATATAGAAGGTCTAAAAGTTTAAATTTTTGAAAAAATATGTCAAATTGTTTGTGTATACAAAAGCTTCTACCAATAAGAAACTGACACGTATGCGAGTCTAAAACATTTCTAAATATCTATCTTTGGACTCGGGTCTATTGTTTTATGGCATTTTATAATTAAATTTTTGGACACAAAAACTTTGGATCTCTACTTAGATATCCCGTTAATCATGCTCTTATCTCCTGAGCAGCTTCAGTATTTGGTTTCTTATTTGAATGAAAAGTTGCAGCCGTCTACATCTACTCCTGCTAGTTCATCTGCAACGATTACAGAGATATCATATAACTCTACTGCTTATACTTCAGAGTTTACTCCTACTACATGTCAGATCACTGGTACTCAATTTCCCTCTATTTTCTATTCACAAACAGAAGAAACTCAATCATATTTTTACACTTTATCAGATAAGTTAGTGAATATGAATACATGGGTGATTGATACTGGTGCTACTCATCATGTTACTTATGATAAAAGTCTATTTCAAGAAATGACTGTTATAGAGGATACCACAGTGCAGCTTGCTAATGGTGTTGGTGTGAGAATACAAGGTTTGGGATCTATAAGACTTAATGACAGACTCATTCTACATGATGTTCTGTTCATACCTCAGTTTAAGTTTCATTTGCTAAGTGTGAGCTCCTTGACTTCTCAGATTAAGTGTGGATTATGGTTTGATTCTTATGGTTGTGCTATTCAGGATCTTACAAGGGCATTGACAATTGGCAGAGGTAAACTCCACAATAAGCTCTATTTCTTGGACCTGCAGTTTCAACCAAAGAAAGAAGCTTCACCAACAGTCTGTCTTACAGTCAAGATTGATGCTCACACATGGCATCAACGCTTGGGTCATCCATCTTTACAAAGGCTTAAATCTATGTCAAACTCTTTGTCTATTTCTTTTCCTAAGGAGAATACTCCTGAACAGAATCATTGCAGAATTTGTCACCTTGCTAAACAAAAGCATTTGCCTTTTGTGCATCGGAATAATAAGACTTCTAATGCATTTGATTTGATTCATATTTATACTTGGGGTCCCTTTGCAGTTGCTTCTTATGATGGATATAAATATTTCCTAACAATTGTAGATGATAATTCTCGTGCAACTTGGGTTTATCTTCTCCGAAATAAATCAGAAGCCATTACTGTTTTGCCTGGATTTTTCTCAATGGTTGAAACTCAATTTGGTGTCAAAGTAAAGGCTGTGAGATCAGATAATGCTCCTGAGTTTAACTTCACCAAGTTTTACAGAGAAAAAGGTATCATATCCTATCATTCATGCCCAGAGACTCCTCAACAGAACTCAGTGGTTGAAAGAAAACACCAACATCTCCTCAATGTTGCTAGGGCCTTAATGTTTCAATCCCAGGTTCCAGTTGAATATTGGAGTGAATGTATTATGACTACAGTGTTTCTCATCAATAGACTTCCTACAGAGAACTTGTTCAACAAATCTCCTTTTGAAATATTGATGAAGAAAGCTCTAGAGTATGATGATCTTAAAAGTTTTGGTTGTTTGGCTTATTCTTCTACATCACCACATCAGAGAAATAAGTTTGCTCCTCGGGCTAGAGCATGCATCTTCTTGGGGTATCCTACTGGTGTCAAAGGCTACAAACTTCTTGATATTGAAACACATGATATCTTGGTGTCAAGACACGTTGTTTTTCATGAAGAAATATTCCCTCTTGCAGTTGGAGACATGAACCAGCAAATTCAGGATTTGTTTCCTCTTGTGTCTGAGATAGCTGGTGATTTAGCAGTGGATAAAGGATCTGCTATCCCAGTTCAGCCACAAAAGGATTCTGTGCATATTGGTAGTGCTATTTCTGTAGTAGAAGATTCTGCGTCTATCACATTAATACCTATGCCAAATCCGGAGAATGCAGTAAATGTGGAAGATTCACTTACTGTCAAAGCTAGAGTCTCTAACAACACAGTTTCTGGTGCAACTTCAAGGACTGTGGAAGTTCCTGTTGCACATTCTAGAACTGTGGATACTCTTAACATTGTTACTACCAAGTCAAGAGAAATAAAAAGACCTGCTCATTTGCAGGATTATCACTGTTACCTTGCTAGTAAGGACAATCCCTATCCTTATGCAAGTATTTGTCATATGACAAGCTATCTGGTCCTTACCATTTCTTTCTCATTGTCATTACCAAGGAATTTGAGCCTACTACTTACAATGACGCCAAAAGCATCTTGTTTGGACAAATGCAATGGGAGAAGAGATAACTGCTTTGCAAGATACTAATACTTGGACTATTTGCAAGAGGAAAGCACATTATTGGGTGTAAGTGGGTTTATAAGGTGAAATATCATTCTGATGGTACTCTAGAAAGACACAAGGCCAGATTGGTGGCAAAGGATTACACACAAAAGTCAGGATTGGACTCTATGTTGATACTTATTCTCCAGTTGCTAAGTTGACATCAGTGAAAATGCGTCTTGCAATTGGATATTTCGAATGCGTTTCTGAATGGTGATTTGAAGGAAGAAATTTACATGCAACTTCCACCAGGCTATTCATCTCGACAGGGGGACTTATTACCTGATAATGCAGTCTGTCGCTTGAACAAGTCACTATATGGATTGAAGCAGGCGTCCAGACAGTGGTATCTTAAGTTTGCTGAAACTCTACAAAAACTTGGCTTTCAAACGAATCATTCTGATCATACTTTGTTTACAAAGTTCAGTGATTCTGTTTTAATCATTGTCTTGGTTTATGTGGATGACATAATTGTTTCTAGCAACAGTGAAGAAGCTGCAGCTAATCTCAAGTCTCAGTTAAAGTCTCATTTTAAGCTGAGGGATCTAGGACCTGCTCAATACTTTCTTGGACTTGAAATCGCGAGATCTGCAGAAGTTATCTCTTTGTGTCAAAGAAAATATGTTATTGAACTTCTTGATTCAGCTGGTGTGTTGGGATGCAAACCTTCTTCAATTCCTATGGAACCAAATCAGAAACTATCTCAAGATGATGGAGAGCTCTATGATAATCCTGAGAGTTACAGAAGCATTATTGGGAAACTCATCTACTTGACTATAACACGACCAGATATATGCTTTGCGGTTGGTAAATTGGCTCAATATACTGGTGCTCTTAGAGTGTCTCATCATCGTGCAGTACTCAAGCTCCTTGCTTATATTAAAGGGACTGTAGGGCAAGGATTGTTCTACTCTTCTAATCCTAATATGGACTTGAAAGCTTTTGCAGATGCTGATCTTAGCGCTTGTCCAGACTCAAGACGTTCTGTTTCAGCTTATTGCATATTTCTTGGGGATTCTCTCATTTCATGGAAATCAAGGAAGCAGGATGTTGTTTCTAGATCATCTGCAGAATCAGAGTATAGAGCTATGGCATTGGCAGTGTGTGATATTTTTTGGGTTCGGAGTTTGATGGAAGACTTGCATTTGCCTCCTTCTTCTCCAACAGTTCTTTATTGTGATAATGAAGCAGCGATACATATTGCGAATAACCCAGTATTTCATGAAAGAACGAAACACGTAGAGCGTGATTGTCATACGGTACGAGACAGAGTTACTGATGGAACCATTATTTTGGCTCATGTCAGGACAGAGTGTCAGATTGCAGATCTTTTGACCAAGGCTTTGTATCCTGGACAGTTCCGTGCTCTAGTGGGTAAGCTTGGCATTTCAAACATCTTCATGCCAGCTTAAGGGGGACTATCAGAGTATATGAGTATATGTGAAGTACCGTGAAGAAGAAGAAACAAGGAAGCAGATAGTTAACAGAATATACTTATTCTGTTACATGATAAACAGAGTATTAACACTGTTAATGACTCACTTGTATAGATAAGTATCTAGCTTAGTATATAAGCCAAAGGTACAGCTACACAAATCTTTAATGAGAATTCTAGAATGTTTTACAATTCTATTATAACTGTCGCTGACATTGGCTTCACCATACAAAATCATGTATTCTTTTTAGAATTTTGAGGTTGTAAATCTATTTTGATCAAATTTTCATGTTCTAGATTAGTATGTGACATATGCTCACCTTGCGTATATCATAAAAGGACTTGATAACTTCTGAGATTTTTTGCGCATCACCAAGGTTGCTTAATGGCTGGAGAAGGCGGCGTAGAATGAGAATGTCAGATAATAAAACCATCATTCCAGATGCGATTGCTGGATGACGCATGTTGAATGCATCTCCCAATACAATCACTCCTTTCTTATCGCTCAACGTAGCTGACATTTTCTTTGTTGGCATGACTTTTATATGTGCTCCTTCATCGATCCCTTTCAAAAATATTTCACGGAGTTTTGAAGGTACCTAGAAAATTAAAAAATGTTAAAAGATGTTAGACATATCTGCATGGACTTCTTACAAATATTGAATGTGTGTATGCGACTTAATTATATATGCACACCAACATAGTAATATATCTACATATTGAGTTGTTTTTTTTATTGAACAAAGAAATAATCAGTCCAATGTGTACCTGAGGAGCAATAGTGTTCTTCACGAAATTAACCATTTCACCATTTGAAATAGAAGGAACGTTGTTGGGGAAAAGCTCAAAAACACAACGAACGTCGGTGCTGCCGATTTGATACAACATGGTGAAGGAGGGTTTAGACATTATCAATTTTAACTTCTCCGGTTCTTCAAGCTGACAGTTTCTTGAGATGTAACCAACTTGGTATGACAGAACCTCCGCCTACATCACATTAAAGTACATTGATGCTTATTAATTAATTGACTACATCCATGTAAGTAACATCAATTCTATGTCATTAGCAAAAGATTGATGACATTTCCGTTTAAATGAGCCTATATAGTTAATACTCACATTGTTGTCGTTAAGCGACCGACGAAGGTTTGAGTAGCAACCGTCGCATACCACAGTGAGAGGTGCAAAGGCTGTTGTTTCTTCGCCTGCGCTATTTTTGTATGTCACTCCTTTGATCACTCCTTTTTCTTCGATCAAAGACCTCACCGTTCCTTCTTCGAGCCGAACACTACCAATTAATGTTTGGTGTATTGATTAGTATTATAAACAAAACCATTACTATTGTCAAGCTTAGTAATATTCTTTTGCACAAAAAAAAAAAAAAAAGTAATATTCTTAAATTTTCAAAAAATTATTAGGTGCTAATTGAAGGGATTATTATTTCATATATATTCATTAGTATATAGATAAATGTATGGTGTGAGGTTTTCTATATCTTTATTTAGTTTTTAATAGATATATTGATGGGGTAGACACAAATGTTGACTTTCCAAAATGTTGCAAATAATTATGAATGTAGAAACACAATTCCAAAAGACTGATCAGTTTGAGTTTCAAAAAAAAATTATTTCATAGAAAAAATTATATTTTTTTCAAAACTTATTAGTTTGCATCTTGAAATTAGTGGGCAATGAATAGGCTTAATATCTTTTGTATAATCGATTTCCTGTCAATCTGAATCTAATATAGAGTACCAAATCATATTCATGATTTCCCATCTCAAATAAATAGCTAACACTGAATAGTGAGTGGCTCATGATTTTTAAATGTTCTATAAATGAATCCTTTTGCACTCTTTGATTTAGAATTCTTGACCTATATATACTCTTGGTAAAAAACTAACAAATAAAGATACGTACTTGGGAAGAGAAGAAGCTTTTTGGCGCAGACGTTGGACGAATCGACCATTGTGAAAAGATCGAGCAGAAGGATCATAAGGAAATTTGTTGTTGTCCACCGGAAAAGATGCGACTGCTTCTTTTCCGTCCTTATAAACTGCCATGCCCGTGGCTTTTTGGGCATCTATTCCTTCCAAAAAATCTATGCATATATATAAATGCACAAATTTGATCATGAAACTAAGTATGACTTTCTGATTCAATTACATATAATGAAAGTGAGATAGAGACAGACCTTGAAGGTCAAGCTTAGAGAGCATGAATCGTCCTCCTGGTTGCATAAACTCACCCATCATTCTCTCTGGTTCTCTCATGTCCCTCTCTATTATATGCACTCGACGCCCGTCCTATATATAATCGAAAATTAGCATATATAGGATTATTCGTTCCAACCCAAAAATATTGCAATAGAAGTATATATATATATTATGCAAAGGAAGCAACAACAATAGTGTATATAGTTGTTTACCTTATCAATGATGCACAAATATTATACAAAATCAACAAGAATCAATGTAAGACTAAGACGCAAATCTGTGACGCCACTTTACATACCTTAGCAAGAGCATATGCGAGAGCCGAGCCGCCAACTCCAGCCCCAACGATGATAACGTCAGCAGCAGCACCATCTTTTCGCTCTTCCACCACCGCATCCGCCGACTTCGTTGCCTTCTTCCCCCTGTTTGTGTCGTAGAACAGCGTCCAAGTTAGCACGAAGGCGAGTAGCGTGCATACACAAACGTGTGTAAAAGCCATATCCATATCTATCAGTTCTCAATGTGGTTTATGAGAGAATTGAGAATGAGAAGTAACATATATATAGTGCAAAGATATCTCAGTTTGGACGTGGTATCACCACATGCTAAATTATAATAATTTAAAAAGCAATAAATTGATCTTTTCTGTTGTCCACATATTTCGTTTATCATTTATGAGCTGTAAGATGACAAAAAAACGAACGATATTTTTATACTCCAAGATACAAATAGAAAATATTGTCCATCCTAGTTAATGAATATGTTTCTATTTAGAACAAGCGAATAAAAGGTACCACTTAAATTATTGACATTTTTTGTGACGCTTAAATAATGAAATAATCTAGTCAAGACGTTAGCTAATTAGTCGGCCATGATTTTGACAATGGAGTACCGTATTCAATTGGTTTCTTAGGTAACTACTAATGAATGGTTATCTCTTTATCAGCAGTTTGCATGTTTAACAATAAAAATCCATAAAAATTTTGATGTGGGAAAAATAAATGTAAAGAACAAAGAAATGCAACATATTTTAGTAGCAAATTTTTTCAATTGAATATATAGTATTTTAAATTTGTACATGCAGTAACTTTGTTCAAAATTTAATTTTCAAATAATATAATAATATAATCAAAACTATATCATAAATTAGTTGTGAAATTGGATAGAACAAATTTATGTCGTTAAATTGGTATATATAATTTTTTTTTTTATGGTAAAGGTTTTAAATTTGTAATCATAGGGTTTATTTCGAGTAGTATCACGTGGCGACCAAAGGCTGGCATAGGAAAAATATAAAATAAAGAGGATGTGAATAGAGTTTTTTTTGATAAAGATCTAGAGATGTGAATAGAGTTTACTCATAGGGTACCGTTGAGGTCGCGATCGGGCTCATGATACCAAACGCCAAGTTTTGCATTGTTTTTGTGGTTGACATACATGTAACTACTTTCAAATGACGACATTTACTTTTACCTATATATTTTTTATCTTTTGATACATAGTTTTGCAGTCTAAAAAAAAAGAAAAAAAATAGTAAAGAAACAAATCATGTGGGCTTATGGCTCATATAGATTTCCTTCCTTATTTTTTTATTTACTTTTCAGAAACTAAAAGCTTAAATTATCAACATGTAAATCCAAATCTTCTTCATTTTATATGATATTTACTCACTTATAGAAAAAAAAATAATACGAAAAAGAAAAAAAAGAAAGAAAAAAACATTACCGTCTGTATTTACCTTTTTCAGAATGAACCAAAAAAAACATTTTGATTAAACTAAACAAATTGATTTCAAGTAAAATAATAATTTGTTACTATATATATATATAAAATCAAACACAAATGTATATCAACAATCAAATATGTAGTTGATTTCGAATACAATAGAGTCTAGTTGATCTAAAACCATCTCCAATAAATTCTTCTATTTTTTCTAAAGTAAAGTAGAATATTTTCTAATGTGTCACTCTATTTTTTAGGGATAAGTTGGAATTTAGTACGTTTATCAAACTTAATTATAAAAATAGTACAAGTACTATTTACAATTGGAACAAACACCCAACTTGGACTGCAGCGCCTTTAAACTTCTTTTTCTCTCTCTCCATCGTTACAAAAACCAGAGAAGAAGAAACAAAATCAATAATCTCAAATCTTCGAAATCGAAATCGGAATCTATAAACGATGTCTTGCTCCGTCGCCGTTTGTAATTCTCCGGTGTTTTCACCGTCGTCGTCTCTATTCTGCAACAAAGCTTCGATTCTCTCTTCGCCGCAAGAATCTCCTGGAGGTGTTTGAAGAGGAAACGACCTACAAGGCTTGATATACCGATTGGTGTTGCTGGATTTGTAGGTCCGATTTCGTCGTCTACGGCGGCTTTGGCTGAGACGCCGAGGGAGGAGAGTAGAGAGGTCGAGAGAGATGGTGATGGTTATTCTGTTTATTGTAAGAGAGGAAGAAGAGAAGCTATGGAGGATCGTTTCTCTACTATCACCAATCTTCATGGAGATCGTAAACATGTACTTTCCATTTTCATTTTCCTTTTGGTTGAGAATTGAATCGAATTGGTGATTTTGATTCGATTGATTAACAATAACAGCTTAAATTAGGGTTTATTCATGCAAGATCTACGTTGATTCGATTAATTAGTAGTATAATCTAGAATGAGGGTTCTTGATGATGTTGTTTGGGGGAAATTGTATTTATTGATGAATTGTGTATTCTAAACGTGTTATAAACCACATGTTGGATGGACTCCATAACCGTGGACCTTATGCATATTCTAGAAGGCCCATGTCCATGTCCTAGAAGGCCCATGCCCATGTTCTTGAAGATTCTCCTTATGACGGCCTATATTGTACTTAGTGGGCTTTTGGGCTTTAGGGTTTACTAGCCCAATGGGGATTTGTCTCCCCTCATCATGTATATATATGTATCGAAATCTCATTCATTAATCAATAGAACAACACAGTTTACAACACGTTATCAGCACGACTTGCTCTTAACGAAAACCCTAAAACCCTAACCCTAAAAATCGCGGCACTGTTCATCACCGACACTGTTCATCTCGGTACTGTTCATCGCCGTACTGTTCATCGCCGACACTGTTCATCGCCGACACTGTTCATCGCGGCACTGTTCATCGCGGTACTGTTCATCGCGGCACTGTTCATCGCGGTACTGTTCATCGTGGTACTGTTTGCGGTTCGTTGCAGCAGCGTGAGTTACCGAGGTCTTTAGCTCCCGGTTCTAGTCCATACAACCCCATAAGGTGAAAGGTAACATCAAAACCCTAAAGCTAAAGAACCAACAATTGAACTTGAAAGTTAAGCAAAGAGAAACCCTAAAACGAATGATGATTGATTAAGTGATTGCTTTGCTTGTATGATTTGATTGCTTGCTTGATCCGATTGCTTGTTTGCTCGATTGTTTGACTCGTTTAGGTTGCTAGAAAAAGTTGATTATCGCTTAAGCTAAACTCGCCTAAGTTGCTAGAGAAGTTTTAATTGTCTAAACCTAAAATCGCAAAACGAAAATACATAAGCTAATAACCGAAACTTTAAAGGTCTAAAAACCTAAAACCTAAAACGAATCTAATCCAAAAAATTCCATAAGTTTAAATCGGCTTGATTGAGATTGTTTAGGTTGTTAGATTGTTTGCTCCTTTGATTGATTACATGCTTAACACCCTAAAACTAAAATTGCATGAACCCTAGAAAACTTAGAAAAGATAATCCTAAAAGAAATCTCAAAACCCTAAAACCTAAAATCCTAAATAAAATAGGAAACCCTAAAATCTAGGAAACCTTAAAATCCTAAATAAAATAGGAAACCCTAGATAATAGGAAATCTTAAAAACCCTAAATCCTAAGTAAAAATAGGAAACCTTAAAACCCTAAATCTTAGGGATAATAGGAAATCTTAACAACCCTAAATCCTAAATAGGGAATCTTAAAATCCTCAATAAAATAGGAAACTTTAAAATCCTAATAGAAAGCATGAAAACCTAAATAAAATCCTAAATCCTATTGTACTCTAAATCCTAATTAAATTAGGAAATTCATAAATCCTATTCAAGATAGGAAAACTTTAAGAAATAGAAAATTTCCAAATCCTAATTAAAATAGGAAATCTTAAAATCTAAAATCAGAAGTGAAATAGGAAAATTAATCCTAAAGTAAAGAGGAAAGTAAATCCTAAAAGGAAAAGGAAAAGTTAATCCTAATCAAAAGAGGAAATCTAATCATAAGCAAAAGAGGAAAGTCAAATCCCTAAGTAAATCGATTCATGGTTCGGTCTCAAATACCGCATGACACTAACGATTACATGATTTTGACTCAAAACGTTTCTTTGTAGATGTTGAATTACAACTTGTACTTTACTGCCCTAAATCTCTTAGGAGATAATTATTTTAAAATGGGCAATAGATACTAAGATTATCCTAAAGTCAAAAGGACTTGGTGAATGTATCTAATAAGGCAAGAATGCCAAGAGAGAAAGATAGATACAAGGCAATATTAGCCACCATCTTATTGAAAGTCTCATAATCCAGGACTATAAGTCCGTGGATGAGTCTATTGCTAGATGAAAAAAAAAAAATAAAAAAATAATGACTTACAGATAAAAACAGTGAATTACGACCTCATAGATTAACCCCATTACCTAATGCCAATAAGGCCGCAGAGGATAAGAAAGAATCCAAAGAATCTAACCACGTCTAAAGTGATAGACCACACGGCCGTGACCGTGGTGAATGGAAAGGACGTGGTTGTGACCACTATAACTCATCCGGCCGTGGGAACCACTATAACCGTGGATGTAGACCCAATCCCGGCCGTGGTCGAGGGCGAGGACGATGTGGTATTTCCAAACCACAACACTCGACCAAATGAGTATGCCATAGATGTGGTATTGAAAGGACGTGGTTGTGGCCACTATAACTCATCCGGCCATGGGAACCACTATAACCGTGGATGTAGACCCAATTCCGGCCGTGGTCGAGGGCGAGGACGATGTGGTATTTCCAAACCACAACACTCGACCAAATGAGTATACCATAGATATGGAATGGGAAACCATTGGGCTAAGATATGTAGGACTTCCAAACATCGTTGTGACCTCTATCAAGAGAATGTAAAAGGGAAGAATCCTAAAGCCCATTTGGTATATAAAGATGGTGAACATGATCAAGATGATCTAATAGAGTATGAAACTTCTGATTGCATAAAAGAATCAAGTTGATAAATCTTACTTCGACATCAAAACCTCTATGTTTTTCTTTGCATTTTATGTGTTCATTGATTGTTATTTGCTTGAATTTATTTTATATTATTTTATGTTTAGAACATGATTCTTGTCCATATAAGAAATGACCGAGGACAAGAACATAATTGTGGTGGATAGTGGATCGAGCCACACAATTTTAAAAAGACAAAAGATAATACTTTATAAATCTAACATTGAAAATGCCAATATTAGCACCATAGCGGGAATAGCTAGTCTTATTGAGGGCCACGGTCAAGCCCATATCCTTTTATCAAAAGGCACGCATCTTGAAATAAGCGATGCCCTATATTCACCCAGCTCGAAGAGGAGCTTGTTAAGTTTCAAAGATATAAGATTAAATGGTTTCCATATTGAAACAAAGGGTGAAGGGAACAAAGAATTCCTAAATATAATTGAGATCACCCAAGGACATAAGAAAGTCCTAGAGACTATACCCGCATTATCCACTGGTCTTTACTATGCTAAAATCGATATGATCGAAGCTAATATGGCAATGAACAAATAGTAAAGAAACAAATCATGTGGGCTTATGGCTCATATAGATTTCCTTCCTTATTTTTTTATTTACTTTTCAGAAACTAAAAGCTTAAATTATCAACATGTAAATCCAAATCTTCTTCATTTTATATGATATTTACTCACTTATAGAAAAAAAAATAATACGAAAAAGAAAAAAAAGAAAGAAAAAAACATTACCGTCTGTATTTACCTTTTTCAGAATGAACCAAAAAAAACATTTTGATTAAACTAAACAAATTGATTTCAAGTAAAATAATAATTTGTTACTATATATATATATAAAATCAAACACAAATGTATATCAACAATCAAATATGTAGTTGATTTCGAATACAATAGAGTCTAGTTGATCTAAAACCATCTCCAATAAATTCTTCTATTTTTTCTAAAGTAAAGTAGAATATTTTCTAATGTGTCACTCTATTTTTTAGGGATAAGTTGGAATTTAGTACGTTTATCAAACTTAATTATAAAAATAGTACAAGTACTATTTACAATTGGAACAAACACCCAACTTGGACTGCAGCGCCTTTAAACTTCTTTTTCTCTCTCTCCATCGTTACAAAAACCAGAGAAGAAGAAACAAAATCAATAATCTCAAATCTTCGAAATCGAAATCGGAATCTATAAACGATGTCTTGCTCCGTCGCCGTTTGTAATTCTCCGGTGTTTTCACCGTCGTCGTCTCTATTCTGCAACAAAGCTTCGATTCTCTCTTCGCCGCAAGAATCTCCTGGAGGTGTTTGAAGAGGAAACGACCTACAAGGCTTGATATACCGATTGGTGTTGCTGGATTTGTAGGTCCGATTTCGTCGTCTACGGCGGCTTTGGCTGAGACGCCGAGGGAGGAGAGTAGAGAGGTCGAGAGAGATGGTGATGGTTATTCTGTTTATTGTAAGAGAGGAAGAAGAGAAGCTATGGAGGATCGTTTCTCTACTATCACCAATCTTCATGGAGATCGTAAACATGTACTTTCCATTTTCATTTTCCTTTTGGTTGAGAATTGAATCGAATTGGTGATTTTGATTCGATTGATTAACAATAACAGCTTAAATTAGGGTTTATTCATGCAAGATCTACGTTGATTCGATTAATTAGTAGTATAATCTAGAATGAGGGTTCTTGATGATGTTGTTTGGGGGAAATTGTATTTATTGATGAATTGTGTATTCTAAACGTGTTATAAACCACATGTTGGATGGACTCCATAACCGTGGACCTTATGCATATTCTAGAAGGCCCATGTCCATGTCCTAGAAGGCCCATGCCCATGTTCTTGAAGATTCTCCTTATGACGGCCTATATTGTACTTAGTGGGCTTTTGGGCTTTAGGGTTTACTAGCCCAATGGGGATTTGTCTCCCCTCATCATGTATATATATGTATCGAAATCTCATTCATTAATCAATAGAACAACACAGTTTACAACAAAACGTTGTTTTGCTTTTGTGATAATTTTTCAGGCGATATTTGGAGTCTATGATGGTCATGGAGGAGTTAAAGCGGCTGAGTTTGCGGCTAAGAACTTAGATAAGAACATTGTAGAAGAAATAGTTGGTTTAAGAGACGAGTCTGAGATAGCTGAAGTGGTGAGACGCGGTTACTTGACAACAAACGCCGCGTTTCTTAAGGAGAAAGATGTCAAGGGTGGTTCGTGCTGTGTTACGGCTATGGTTAGCGAAGGGAACCTTGTTGTGTCTAATACTGGTGTGGTGACTGTCGTGCTGTTTAGCGAAGGGAACCTTGTTACGGCCATGATGATCCAGTGTCTGAAAGATTAACTCGAATGAAAGCCTTACCTTGAGATTTAGCTTAAGAGCCCTTGACAAAAGTTATAGGAAATTGAGTTAGCTTTCCAAAGGCGGTGATTACAGGCCAATTAGAGCAATAGTTCAAGATTTATGACCGATTTAGTTTACACATATCAATATGACGTAGACGCATCTGAAATTAGAAATCTCTAGCTTTATTTCAGATTCAGTTCTCTAATATTTCTTGGCTATGTTTGTGTTTACGATAAAGCTCTTTTTTTTTAGAAGAATGATTTGTAAATTATGTGATTGTTGAATTCAAAAGAAGTTTTGGAGAGGTAGAATTTTCGGATTGAGACTGATAATGAAGTTGTTGAGAAAGGGTCAGTCTTTTTTTTTGAAAATTGTTGAATGTGATGTTCTTGGTTCTTGTTTTCCCAAAAGGGTCTAACACCCAGTTTGAAAATTTTGTCTCTTTCTTATTGGTAATGTTGCAATTGAATGTTAAGAAATGTTCCACTAATGGAATGTGGATTTGTTGAGTGATAATCAGAGCAGTAGTTCAAACAATTAATATTATCTAAATAAATAAATAAATAAATAAATAAAAGAGGTTCATGTTTAGGGGGTGAACCCAAATATTGTTCTCGTTCAAAAGTAACATGTTTTGCATTTCAATTTCCTTAACCTAATTAACTACCCCTATTCTAGAAAATACAACAACGTTGCACTATAACTACGAAAAATAGACACTTCTCTAAAATTTATCTCCCAACATATTTTAAATGAATCTAACCAAAAGAATTACATCCCAACCCAAAAGATTGCCTATTACACATTTAATACAAAACAAAAACAATACTTGGGGTCAAAGTAATGTTTTGGATGAGTAGGATGGTTGAAAATTTTCTGAGATTGTGTATTCTTCTGTACAGTAGTTTATATCTGTACAGTCATTCTTTTGTACAGTACAAACTGACTAAGTCTTCTGTACAGTCTAAGGTCTTAGTTTATATCTATACATTCAAAGCGACACTGCATCATTCTTTTTTGGTCTTCATATGTTCTTGTCCTGTCTTTCAAATGGGTAACATTATCATAAATAGCAATTTGCTTCAAAATATATACTTGTAAATTAATTCATTGCGTTTATCAAATAGGATGGTTTTTATCTGTATAGTGGTCTATATATGTACAGTGGTCTATATATGTATCTGTACAGTGGTATTCTGTACAGTAGTCTTCTGTACAGTGGTATATTTCTGTACATACATTCTTCTGTACAGATGCATCTTTCTATACATACATTCTTCTGTACAGATGTAGACCACTGTACAGATATACACAACTGTACAGAAGAAATCTGTACAGCAGAATATCTGTATAGAAGGATGTATCTGTACAGTGATTTATATCTGTATATATATTATTTGTACAGTGTTCGGTAATATAAATTTTAAAATTTATAAAACAAAATGCATATCAAATGATAGAGAAAAAACCATAGATTTTTATGTATATGATCAATTTTAGAAAAATAAAATTTACGAATGAGCATTTTAGTTATTAAACTTTGAGGGAATGAAATATAATAAAAAAAAAGAAATAAAAAAAAACCCTGACCCACTAAAAAACTTTTATACGTTTCACGCACTCTATCTCACACACTCTCTCTCACACTCTCTCTCTCAGTCTCTCTTCTCTCACACTCTCTCTTTCTCAATTATAAATAGTAACCGTACTAGTTCTATAATTAAGTTTGGGAAATGTATTAGTTTCCCAACTCACCTTATTTTTTATTACAAAAGAAATAGAGTAAAACAAATAGAATAAAAAAACATAATCTCTAAATATAGTGTAATAATATATTAATTTACTTTATTTTAGAGTGAAATATTAGAGTAGGATTATAGATAATTTTACTCTATAATAAAGTTTAAAAGAGAAAATAGATGGGTTGGAGATGTCCTAAACTAGGCCACTAACAAACTAGATGAATGTTTAACGCCTATTCGTTAGATCAAAAGTCTAGTTCTTTGTAAGTAAAGTTACAACGATAAGTTCATCAGACTTCTTTAATCACGTTTCAAAATAGAAAAATAACACAAATATCACTAAAGGTGGGAATTATCTTTATCCGCATAACCCCTAAAAAGGTCGACTTCAAAGATATTGAAAGGCCAATAAATTATGTCATTCATTGTTAAATGATGCATCTTATTATGTCATTCATCCTTAAATGATGCATCTTATTATGTCATTCATTGTTAATTGTTAAATAATGCATCTTATTATGTCATTCATCTATTTTTGTTTTTCTATAAATAGAAGTATAGAGACGAGACTTTACTCTTTTGGCTGTTTTCTGTGTATACGACAACAAAAACCTCACCACAAAACTTCATCAATTATTGGGACAGCTGCAGTTTGAAGTTGTTATCGACGTCCATAAATTTTTCTTGGGTTATATATATATATATATATATATATATATATTAGGAATAAGAATTCGACAACTTAATTTAAAGTTTTAATGAAATTCACAAAAGACAAAAAAACAATCAAAGCCACCAATTGTACACAAACAGATTATATTCTGATAATATGTTAATCTGCCATTATGGCCAGAAGAACAGTTATGTATGATTTGTTAATTCAATATAATATTTGATTCGACGAAAAAAAAAACGAAAACTTGTTTTATTATTAAACTTTTCTTCTTTCCGTAGACTATTTCCCTGTTGTTATGTACTAATATTATTTTTTTGGTTTATGCATGGTTAAAATTAAAAAAAAAAAAATGAATGATTGTTTTATAGAGGATATATATATATTTGGACAAACAGAAAGAGGGTGCATTTTTAAACAATTAGAAGGGATAAATTCATCTGATGTTTTTAACCAGTGGGTTAGAAAGATATAACTCATATACTAATAATTGTAAGATAAGCATTACAATAAAATTTCAACAATTTAACAATCACAAAGATTGGTAGTCCATATATGATATATATATTTTTCGGTTTAGAGCATCAATGTTTAAAAAACAGACGCGGCCATATAGCTTTTGCGATATGCGGCTGCGTTTGCAGGAAACAACATCTGGCTAACTCCCTCAGCCTTCAGATGGGGAACCAACATTTTCGTAGCTAACTGGTGATTCACATAAAACATATAATTAAAAAAATAATTCAATGTCAAATTGTAATTAGTAAACCAAAAAGAGCGTCAAAGAAAAAGTTTTCTATCGAAATAAAATGACTTACACCAAAAAGCCTGAGGCTATGCCAAATGCGAATGGGGGAAGGAAATGGAGATAGAAGATGGCCAATGGAATGTAGTGTGATTGCGCAGAGATGATAGATGAGAGAGATCGGACGAGGATTCATGCCACCTAGCAGAGCCATCATCCCTGACGTGCGAAATCCGCCACTACAAAGGTAATCATAGCAACCCTGTCTCATTGCTTCTTTTGCTTCGTCGGTTGATGCAATTAGCACTTGAGAAAATGCAGTTCCTAATGTGTTCACCGTCGCTGACATTGGCTTCACCATAAAAAAAAACAAGCTTTCTTAAATTTTTGAAGTTGTTAATAGGTTTAAAATTTTAGAATGTTCATCATATTTTAGCCTTGGATGATTAGGATGTGATGAAGGCTTACCTTGCGGATGCTATAAAAGGACTTAATGACTTCTGAGACTTTGTTTGCATCGCCGAGGTTGCTTAGTGGCTGGAGAAGGCGACGTAGAATGAGAATATCAGACAATAAAACCATCATTCCAGCCGCGACTGATGGATGACGCATGTTGAATGCATCTCCCAACACAATCACTCCTTTTTTATTGCTTAAAGTAGCTGTCATGCGCTTTGCTGGAACCGCTTTTATGTGTGCTCCCTCATCTAGACCTTTCAAGAATATTTTGCGAAGTTTTGGAGGTACCTTCAAAAAATGTGTAAGTAGGTGTTTATATACATGGAGTTATGGACTTTTTGCAAATATAAGAATATATGACGTACATGTGACTTATCTATGTACCAGTAACACCAACTTAGTTAAATCATATGCTTAGTTCCTTTTTTAATTAATCAGCACATTGCGTACCTGAGGAGCTAGAGTGTTCTTCGCGAAAGTAGCCATTTCACCTTTTGCAATTGAAGGAAAATTGTCGGGGAAAAGCTCAAAACCACAACGAACATCAGTGCTGCTTATTTGGTACAACATGATGGAGGAGGGTTTAGACATTATTAAATGAAGGTTTTCGGGATCATCAAGCCGACAGTTCTTCGAGATGTAACCAACTTGGTAAGACAGAACTTCCGCCTATATCAAGTTATAATTCGTTAATGCTTGTTAAACTAACTTGAATAAATCATAGTAAGTAACATAAATTATTACTCATTAGTGTTTATGTTAAAGTTGAAGTTTTTTTTTTTTCCGTTTAAATGAGACTATATAATTATATACTCACATTGTTGTCGTTTAGAGACCGACGAAGGTTTGAGTAGCAACCGTCGCATACCACAGTGAGAGGTGCCAATGCTGTTGTTTCTTCACCTGCTTTATTTTTGTATGTCACTCCTTTGATCACTCCTTTTTCTTCTATTAACGACTTCACCGTTCCTTCTTCCAGGCGCACACTGCCAATTTAAGATTGGTGTAAACAAAATCATTGCTATTGTCAAGTTTAGTAGTATTTTCCAATGTTCAAAATTTTATTAGGAGTTAATTGGACCTTTGGAGGGTATACCACCTAACTAATTAATTGGAGCCTATTTATTTGTCTTATTTTATAAGGAGTTAAAATAAGTATACATATTATTAATTAGTTGTCTAACCCACCTTGACACAAACGTTAGTTATGTATAAATTTTTCCAAATTAAAATTATAACTTAAAGGTTTATAATATAGAATAAGTTCATTTTATCAAAGTTTATTAGCTTCCTCTAATTGGCATTGAATAAGGTTTATATCTTTTGTAAAGTACCGATTAGTTCACTTCCACATGAGTAATTATTTTGGATCAATCTGATTCTAATATTATATAAAAGTCTTGACTTTCCGATCGGTTATGTTTATTATATGATCTGTAAAAGGTTGAATGGTTGCGGCAGTTGGAGTGGAGAAATCCGTTTACGGATTGGACCGTAGCAGTGTGGATCCAGAAATTTGCAGACTGCTTTTACATATAAATAAATTTGGTTTACCGCGCGGTTTGTTGTCCAACCAAAAAATAGAACGGTTTAGTCCGCTAACGGTTTAGACCGCTTCGCCCACACCAACAACTCAAAGCCAAAATCTCGTAACATTTTTTGATGTAAAATTCTTAGCAATTATAATTTGGTGAACAAAGAGATACGTACCTAGGAAGAGAAGAAGCCTTTTGGCGCAGACTTTGGACGAAT